CGCTATACATGTACGTTAGGTGTAATTTCAACCACAAAGGTTATTACAGGTTCTGAAAGAGCTAGCTAGCTAGTATCTATTCAACTAGGGAACTACGAACGGGTTACAGTTATTGAATCTGTATCACTAGCTAGAGCCTACTCAACTTGGTACATAGATATACTTCTACAAGATTGGACAATTGTGCTAAGTGATAAGGGGTGGATGGACGACAGATAACTCTTTAGGTCTCGTGTGGCTTACAGACATTTTTAAGAAACATATAAATGATCGTACAAAGGGTGTATATCATCTAATCCTTAACAAAATCAGAAGCCATTCTACACCTGCATTTGACCTATTTTGCACAGAGCACTCAATTATTACACTTTGCATGCCTTTACATTCCTCGCACCTTTTACAGCCATTAGACATAAGCTATTTTGTAGTTCTAAAATGCTTTTACAGACAGCAAATTGAGGGGTATATGCGCATGGGCCTTAATCACATTGACAAGCCAGACTTCCTTACAGCTTACCTCTCTGCCCACAACAAGGCTATAGGTGTAAATACAGTCCACAATGGGTTCACAGCTATGGGCCTTGTTCCCTTTGACCTAGAACAAGTACTTGTTAAGCTCAATACTCAGTTACAGACACCAACCCTACCAACAGACCTCTCTACTTCCCCGGAAGGTCCTTAGGTACCCGAAATGCCCTAGAATATTGCTTAATTAGAGCTCTAAACTCAAGTTATCAAGGATCAAGGTATATAAATTCAAGCACATAGGAAAAACTATTAAAAAATAATAATAATAACGTACATGTATAGCAAAAGCGCCAAACAAGCGAAAGCGCCAAAATGATGCGGTGACCAAACCCCCCAACTAAATGTTAAATTCCTCAACAACAAAACATGCCCCATAAAAACGATGAAAGCCAATTAGTGCTAGCTATCCAGGCTATGCAAAGCGACCCAAAGTTACGCCTTCGAGTTGCTGCTAGGATCTATTCTGTGGACCACCGCAAGCTAGGTCGTCATCTAGAAGGTGTACCTTCACGACGCGATATCCAAGCCAACTCACGGAAATTAACTAACCTAGAGGAGTCCGTCCTTGTTCAGTATATACTCGACCTAGCTGCCAAAGGGTTTCCTCCTCGGCTGTCTGTTGTTGAAGATATGGCAAGTCGACTACTTGCAACATGCGACGCGTCACGCGTTGGGTCGCGTTGGGCTTCAAACTTTGTTAAGCGGCGTGTAGAGCTCCAGACACGCTTTCAGCGCAAATACGACTACCAGAGGGCTAAGTGCGAAGATCCAGAAGTTATTAATGGCTGGTTTGAGCTTGTGCGTAACACAATTGCGAAATATGGTATCGATGAAGCAGATATCTACAACTTTGATGAGACTGGGTTTATGATGGGCGTTATCTCAACTGCTATGGTTGTAACAAGCTCAGACGGGCGGGCAAAAGCAAAGAAGGTACAGCCTGGTAATCGGGAATGGGTTACAGTAATCCAAGGCGTTAGTTCTCAAGGTTGGGCAGTACCACCATTTATCATTGTTGCAGGCAAAAACCACCTTACATCTTGGTATGAGAATAGTGGATTTTCAAGCGATTGGGTGATTTCTGTTACTGAAAATGGCTGGACTACAAACGAGAGAGGCATGGATTGGATTCAGCACTTTGAGAAGCATACAAAGGCCCGGAGTGTTGGTGGTTATCGCTTGTTAGTCCTTGATGGTCATGAGAGCCACCACTCAGATGAGTTTGAGGAGTACTGCAAGGAACACAACATTATTACGCTTTGTATGCCTGCTCACTCTTCTCATCTACTCCAGCCACTTGATGTTGGCTGTTTCGGCCCGTTAAAGCAGGCCTATGGTCGGCAAATTGAAGATATGATGCAGGCTCATATTTCTCATATTACAAAGGATGACTTCTTTCCTGCCTTCCACACTGCATTTAACACTACAATGACGGAAAGTAACATTTGAGGCGGGTTCCGAGGGGCAGGGCTTCTTCCATTTGACCCTGAGAGAGTGATATCTACACTTGATCTTAAGTTAAGGACACCAACGCCTCCAAGCTCCCGCCCAGGTACTGCTCAACCTTGGGTTTCTCAGACACCAAACAACCCAATTGAAGCTATGTCACAGTCTACATTTATTAAAACTCGGATTTCACGCCATCAAAATAGCTCTCCAACCTCAATCTATGCAGCTGTTGACCAGTTTACAAAGGGTGCATCGCAAATAATGCATCAATTAGCACTGCTAAAGGGAGAGAACCAAAACCTACGACAGGCAAATGAAGTACTAAGCAAGCGCCGGAGAGCTAGGAAAACATGACTACAGCAAGGAGGATCACTTAGTCAACAAGGGGCGCAAGAGCTACAGGATGAGAGGGATGTTGTGCAGCAGGTAGAGCAGGAAATAAGGGCAAGCCGTGGTCGGAAGCCAAGGGAAGAAACCCGTGCCCGTCGCTGTGGCAAGTGTGGTGAGACTGGGCACAATGCGCGCACGTGTCAGATTGTAATAGACACCTCTGAGGAAGAGGACTCCGAGTAGTTTCAATTGATTTCTAATGTTGTGGTAGATTTATCGCAATGTTTGTCGTGAGGGTAGATAATTTTGGCGCTTTCGCTTGTTTGGCGCTTTCGCTATACATGTACGTTATTTAGAAACCTGTTTTGTTGAAGTTATAGATATCCTCGTCTTAGCTCCTGTATTTTGCAACCGTATTTTGTACAGGCTGAAACCAGTTTTGAATAATTGTAGGATTTTCACATTTAGCCCATTGGTAATCGTATTTATGGTTGTACTTTGATTAGAGGGAGTTGTGACATTTTATAAACTTATAGAATGTCACAAGTACTATAGGATCTAGGGTCTACGTATCAACTGTAGAAAGGCACTGGCATTTATAGGCCCCTTGACTTCGTTGAAATGCTTCAATGATATTAGATTGCTAAGAGAGTGTCTTAATGGCTTGTACAAAAGGAATGGCAATTGAATGAGCATCTAATAGATGTGTAGTTACAACTGCAGTACCAGAAGTTTCTTGATACTCCTTTCAGCAGTACTTACAACGCCAAACAGCCTTTCCATATCTATTAACATAGGCTGTATCACGGTGCTCAGGTGTATGGTCCTAGATTTTTGATGTACATGGACGTTTTCAGCTTTTAAGAGATGAAGAGGACTGTGTAGGCGCGTCGCTTTGAGTATCAAATGTCTCAAACTGAGAACTATCAACATCTAACAATAAACTAGACTGTTGTAATGCCATTTTGCAAAGAATAAAGCTATAGATCATGAAGATGAAGAGTTTTCACTATATGGTACTCATATATTAGGCCAATAAAATTGCCTAATCAGGTAATTCAAACTGCAGTTTAAACTGCAGTTTCAACTGCCAAGAACTAACTACGAACTGTACGGCATAATCTGTAAACCAACTGCCAAGAACTGCATAATATCAGCCCTGCAAACCTAGGGAGGTCGGAGTCAGTATCCTGCTGATCTAGGGGTGTGTGGCCACGTCTAGGTATTGTAGTGAGTTGTGTCTTGTGGTCGGAGCCACTGTGCATGTCAAGGCAGACAGTGGACTGTGCGAAAGGGATGTTAGAGAAAGTTGTTAAGAACATGGCCTGCAGGTTGGAACTCCTAGGGTGCCGATGAAGTCCATGCCGCTCTCGCTAGCCCATCTTGCAAGTTCTGCACCTTGGTGTACTGACTGTACTCCTGGTTCAAACATGTCGTGCTAGGCATTGAAGTCGCCTCTAATAAGGCAGTTTGGTACTAGATGTGTAACGTAGTTGAGCACCTGTGGCTAGAGGGGTTGTCTGTAGACATTGAGAATCGCAAAGCCATTGTAAGGATGCCTTCTCGTCTTTCACTCTAAGGAGCAGACTCTGAGTAGCTGCGGGTCACGTGTGATCATTTGGGCGGGCTAACCGAGTCGGAGGGGTTTCGGGTACTTGAGGGAAATGACTCATGGGGTTCCCCCTTCATCTTTTTTGTATCCTTCGTAGTAGACTTATAGGATAGCATCCGTTTAGCCTCCGACTTGCACTCTCATATGCTACTACTGTGAGCTGGGTGCCCTGTGTCCTTACAGCCATTGATGTCTATCCATAGCATGTCCTGGCTTTCCATAGGGCGGCGTTGTTGGGTCATGAGGCCAGCTATGAGTAAGAACAGGTTTAGAGAAGCCGGAAGTGAACATGATGATGCGCATAAGTGCAGTTCGCTTTAGGTCAATGTCATGACACTCCTTCAATATTTGTATGACCCTTCGATTTGCTTTAGTCTCTAGTACTTATTTCACTATGTCATTCACTTCACCTGCTTCGCTCACTTCGCTCACTTCGCTTCACTTGCTGACCTAGATCAGCCCAAATGTTGACTACTGGCTTAGGCTCTCTTGTTATTGGCTCGCTTCACTAGGGCTCGCTTAGCTAGGGTTCGGTTAATTAGTGCCTTCGCTTATTTGGCACTAGGGATTTTTACTGTTATATAAGCACTTATTGCTCATGTCTCTTATTGATCTTTAGCTAGCAAATTATACACTACTTGGCCTTCTTGCAATTCCTCCTGCTTCGACTTACTTTGCATTCCCTTACTTCGAGTCTAACCACTTGGCCAACCTGTTAGTCTCACCACTTGACCCCTGTGGTATAAAGTATATGCTTTGGAGCCTGAACTACTATACCTTGTCCTACTGCTTCGAGTATCGAAGTCTTCACATTATACTTCAGATACTTCTGCAGACTCGAAGGTCAGCCTCAGTTTGAACTGTCCTTACAGTCAAGCACTGGTCTCACCCTGTTTTATATTTGAGAATAAAAGATAAAAGTAGCACGTAGAAAAGAGCCCAAATTTGTTTCTTATACCGGCCAAACTAGCTTATTGCAAAATCTATAAGAATTATGTTTTTTTCTCCATCTATTTTCTTGTTTTTCTGATCTGTAAAGCATTACTCTCTTATACTTCCAATAACAATACATAAGAAAATAATGTCGTTATGGGAAGTTATTGCAAAGCGTGATCAGAGACTGCTAGAAAGGAAATCTTTAGATTATCAACTGCATGGATTTAGATCTAGGAACAAGTCTGATAAAAGGAATAAGATAGAGCAGCAGATCTTCGATCTCGATAAAGAGATTCTCAAAGACAATTCAGAGATACAGAGATTAGAGAGAGAAAGTAATGCTTCTTAAAACGATGATGTCGCTGCTGCGCAGAAGGCCAAAGATAAAGCAGATGTAGAAAAGCAGGCCTTAGATGTCGCGGAAGAAGAAGCAGCAAAAAAGGCAGCAGAAGAGAAGGCAGCAAAAGAAGGAGCAGAGAAGCAGGCCTCAGATGCCGTGGAAGAAGAAGCAGCAAAAAAGGCCACAGAAGAGAAGGCAGCAAAAGAAGCTGCAGAGAAGGAAAATACACAGAAGACTGCAGAATAAGAAGCAGCAAAAAAGGCCGCAGAAGAGAAGGCAGCAAAAGAAGCCGCAGAAGAAAAAGCAGCCGCAGAGTCGCCACCTGACGACGATATAGTTAATAGACTTTGAAATGGTCTGACTATCAGCAAATTAAAGGAGGATATTTCCATATCAGTAGAATTTTTTTTGTCAAAACATCAGCATGTTGTTGGCTACAAGAATGGGTTTGGAACCCCAGTTATTATTCTTGACAAACAATTTCCCCCAGCAAGAATTTTCAGAATAAGAAGGGACATTGGACATGACAAGAGTAGTCCCAACATTATGCTGCGGAGATGTGGGGGAGAGCTAAAACCTAACTCTGAGGTGAAATGGGGGGTTGACGACCTTGCTGCTGTTAAACTGATTGCAATAGATGTCCCACTTGATTATACTTCATCTCCGGCAAACCTGGTCAAGCTAATTCCTAGGATGATAGGTACAGAAAAGGATGAATTCAAAGCAAATAATTGGAAAACTCTGACACAGCCGGATGTACAACTCTACTGCGAATGGGAGGAACTGTTAATATTAGAAAATGGTGAAAAGGTCTTATGTGGAAGAAGAATGCGGATAGTTACTTGCTTTATGTCACCACATTGGTCGAAGGTTGGTATCAAAAGGTTTCTGGTGGGGCAGTATGTAGACGAACCAATACCAAACACCTGCTGAGGGTGAAAAAATAATCGTCGTGACCAAACTTTTCGCTTCGCTCAAGGTTGGAGTAAGCAATACGCGGCTGCCCAACCTGAGAGGAAGCAATATGCGGCTCGTCGGAACGTGCGTCTGTTCACCGCCACTCCTCAACAAAACCTCTACCATAGTTGTCCATAGTATTTAGATAGTAATTATATGCAATTCATTTAATGGAAGGGACTCCTCTATCAAATGCTCATGAGTGGCTCCTAGAGAACCCCTCTGAAACAGCAACTACTACCAGTCAGATTTTCAAAGTGCCTAAATCAACGATACAGTTAAGTATCAGCCGACTAGCCTAGCAGCTCCTATCCAAGGGTGCTAGAATAAGCTACTCTCTACTGTGTAGACAGAGGCCATAAAGAAATGGATCCTTAAGCAGTATTACCTAGGGCTTAGAGCAACTAGGAATATGATATTTACTGCTGTCTATAAGCTGTAGAGCCCACAGCTGCCCCCGTCACAAAGCTATCTTACAAAATTTATACAGAATGAGCTTAAGGAATATTACTTTATTACGAAGCTAATTGCGTAGTAGTGTACGAAGGCTCAAGATGAGCCTATAGTTCTAAAGTGGTTTCAAGAGTACGGCTAGTTTATACTAGAGCGTGGTATAAAATCAGAGTCAATCTAGAATATAGATGAAACTGGCTTCTAGGTTAGGATTCTAGGTAGAGAATGTGTGATTGTGCCACAAGCCGTAAAGGAGCTCTACATCCTAAGCCCTAAAAATCATATGTCTATTACTATACTTAAGGCTGTGTCTACAACTGGAAAAGTCATACCGCCTATACTTATCATTCCGGGCAAAATACACATGGATTCTTAGTACTACGCCAACCTTTAAGGCACAGAGCTCATCATGCTCTCTAACACTGGATTTTCAAACAGCTAGCTTGCCTTACGGTAGCTAGAGCACTTTATAGAGCATACTCCCTCTAAGGAAATGAAAGTTCTACTACTTAACTCTTATATAAGCCATATAAGTGATGATTTCATCATTATGGCAGAAAAACCAATATTATCATATATACATTCCTATCCCATCTTACTCATATTTTACAGCTACTAGATGTAAGGATCTTCTAGCTGTATAAGCACTAGCATAGAGAGGATATGCTTGCTGCCATACATGATATGGATGTTACATATAACCTATCGTCCTTTATGAGGGATCTTACCAAAATGCAGTTATAGACTTTTAAGGAGTCTACAATTATATCAGCTTTCTAGAAAGCAGGAATTTAGCTAGTAATCTACGTTATAGCTCTCGCAAAGCTATGTATGTACTTCCAGCCTGCTCCTATGCCTACACCTACACCTCTACCTATACGGGTTTCTATACCAAAACCCTCCACTTTTAGGGGGGTTAAAGAGGGGCTATAGTACTAGAAATAACAGGTTCTAGAGGGTTTTAGTAGCCCCTTAAGGGAGAGCTATAGGCATTGGCTCTAGGTTGAGGAGTCAAAGAAGCGGTCGAGCTGAAGCTAGTCTCGCCTTTAGTTTGGAGGTAAGCTTATAGCAGCTCACGCTTACGAGCTTCGGGCCTAGAAAGCTGAGCTAGCAGCTTAGAAGCTTGAGGCCAAGTGGGTTGGAGTAGCCTGCTAGGCTGCCAACTAGGCCTAAAAGCAGCTTCGCTAGGCAGGAATTGAGGCCTAGAAGAAAGAGCGCCTCTGAAAGAAGAGGGTAGCAGCTCTTCAGAAAGCTAGCCCCCAATCCTCTAGAGTTTGAGGACCTAATTCCTAACCCAGAAGCAGTGTTGAAAATCGTCGCCTTCTGCTAATTCATCCACATTTTGTACCCATTTAGTCACCTCGTAGTTGGCTCCTCTGCTAAGCCTGGTATAGGAACCGGCAAGGAAGAAGTTGATTTGTACGATTGCCTCCACAGCTGCCCTACCCGAGATTTAGCTCTCTCAATCCATTCTGTGTTGTCTTCCCAAGTCTTCTCCATGTATGCCCACTTGAAAGAAGGGTTTAAGACTGTGGCTGCTAAATAGACTGGAGAGTCTTCTGTCAATTTATAGTAGTCAGCCAGTTTGGCCCAAGCAGTCTCCATCATCGTAGCCAAGTGGGGGATGGCCCCTGGCGGCCTCGATGTGGTGTAGGAGATAATTGTTATGGCTAAGTGCTAGTGTTATGGCTAGCACTTACGGCGGCAACCTCACGTGATGGATAACATTGGATATCATGGATATTATGTTATCCATGTTATCCACAGCGATCCACGGAATGTCATATGATGGATAACATTGGATATCTTGGATATTATGTTATCCATATTATCCACAGCGATCCACAGAATGTCATGTGATGGATAACACTGGATATCTTGGATATTATGTTATCCATGTTATCCACGGATATCCCTTTGGCACGACGCCACTATATAAGTAGATAGGAGCTTCGTGCTCAACTCAATATAGTATTCTTTACAATACTGTAACGTATTACTTAGAAAGCCTTTGTGTTTAATCCCCTGCCTCCTCTGTCAAGTCAACCTTATGCAGGAAACCTCTGTGTCTTCTATCGTTTAGAAGTCAGCGTTACACTTTGAGCACCACTTCTACGAGGTACCAGCTTATACACAAAGCAACATGTTGGCTGTAGAATCCAAGGGAAAGGTCAGGGCTGCCACAGCTGCGTAGACCTTTGGTTCCTTAACCCTTCCAATTGGCCTTTGGGCGGGTGCAGTCTCCCTAGACTCAGTGGAAGCTGTGTCCTCCTCGTGTCCTTCCAGACGGGGGTCCTCCCACTCGTCCTCGATGTCTTGGTGTCGCCTTTTTGTAAGGATGCCTTCTCATCTCTCACTCTAAGGAGCAGACTCTGAGTAGCTGCGGCTCACGTGTGATCATTTGGGCGGGATAACCGAGTCGGATGGGTTTCGGGTACTGGAGGGAAATGACTCACGAGGTTCCCCCTGGTCACGTGTGATCATTGGGGTGGGCTGACCGAGTCGGATGGGTTTCGGGTACTTAAGGGAATTGACTCACGGGGTTCCCCCTTCATCTTTTTTGTATCCTTCATAGTAGACCTATAGGATAGCATCCGTTTAGCCTCCGACTTGCACTCTCATATGCTATTACTGTGAGCTGGGTGCCCTGTGTCCTTACACTTTTATGACGACTTTTTTCTTGAATTTGGGCTTGCTTCCTTGCAAAGTCCTGTAGGGCCTCAGGGTAGGCGTTGTAATTGTCACCGTGCGATCCTCGGAATACTTCTAGGGCTTCCTTCATTGTGTTGAAGTAGGCCCTCTCTTCTTCCACTCGCTTCTGAAGGTCGGCCAGCTTCGAGGCCATATTCCCACCTTGGTCGGCCACCAAGTCGTCGATTTCTTGGGTCGTAGGTCCTGGAGCTACCTCGGTGGCCTCGGTGGCTGGTGTCGCTCCCCCCGAGGTCGCTCGAGTAATCCGTCTTTCCAAACTTGCCATCCTGACCCAGTAGGCTGGATATGGGTAGAGTCAATAGAATTGTAACGTGTAAGCCCAAGGTCTCACAGGAGTCCAGGGAACCAGGTCAAGAGGCAGGAAAGGGGTATCGTATTCGTAAGGACAATAGGTCTACATAAGTACAGCGACTATTGACTGGAGGCCTTCTTCCGAGGCCTCCAACCCCTTTTATCTATGCACCTTGTGCCCTACTTTACCGAGCCCTATGGGCCCCTAATGAAAGGGACCTCACGTGGTGGCACGTGATGGCCTTCCTTACAACAAGCTACCAAAAAGGGATGTGAGGCGATCGACGAACAGGCCCCACGTCTCAAGTCACAAGCCTATCGTGTAGCTCGAGATCGTATTCTGAAGGAGCGTGATTTACTATTTCGACGAAAGCTTGCTGGTAAATTCACTCGATCAATCGACAAGGCTCTGCCGCGGGATCACATGGCAAAGATCTATAAGATACTGGATAGACAGGATACAGCCATCCTAGTAGAACTAAGAACAGGTCACGTTGGATTAAACGATTACATGGCCCGAGTTCATAGGGCTGACTCGGTCGCATGTTCATGTGGAGCTGAGGCTGAAACGGTATCGCACTTTCTATTCCACTGCCCGTTGTGGCATAGCCCGAGACAAGAATTGCAACAAGTGTTTGGCGATCGACGAAGTGATCTGTCGTACGCATTAGGGGGATGGAGTGGACGCATCGAGAGACGAACTGGAAAGCATGTTGATGGCAACCGGGATCAATGGAAGCCAGAAATTATGGCGATCAAAGCTGTTATACAGTTTGTGAAGGCAACCGGAAGACTTCAACCACAGCAACGTATTGATATGGAAGACGAAGGAGGACAGAGGGGCAGCTCGGGATGAGGGTGGACGAGAAGGCGTCGGAGAAGAAGGCAGCAATGCTGGAAATCTCAGGCTCGATCATTTGCGACTGAGGAGTTTTTAAGCTCGGAAGCGATGGCCAACACTTTGAACAATTAGGATAGCTTATAGCATATAGCGAGAAGCTTTACAAATAAACTTAACTTGACTTAAGTTATGACAGTAGAACGTAGGGAAACAACAGTAGATCAGCGCTCCTGATAGTCCAAACAGTCAGTCGGTCTGTCATGGGCAGACTGGACTGTTGGTCTGTTCGTTATCGTCAGACCAGACGGACTGTTGGTCCGTACGTCGTCATCAGATCAGACTGCAGTCTGGACTGTAGTCTGGACTATTAGTCTAAATCACAACATATGACTTGTAGCCTTTGCTATCAACGATTCTACCTCCAAGCTCCCCTATGTCATCTCCACTGTGTCTGATCCCCCACCGCTCTCATCGCGCCCCAATGCATCAGAGTGGTTGGACCCAGCAGCCGCATCGACATAGCGACACTAGACTCTGCAATTAGCTGACGGTAGTCCTCATGAAGCAGAAAACTCACATCTGATGGGACTATCAAGGCGCTGCTGTCCCAGGAACGTAGACATTCTACGAGATTTAAAGTTTCAGCGTCCATAGCTCCTCGCTGATCGGTTACCGTAAGTTTTTATTTCGAGAAGAGTCGCTGTCCCAGAAGACATGGCTGCAATAGAAAGAATGTCAAGGGCCATCAATGACAAGCTAGGGAATCGTTTACGCTGGGCCAGCTCCAGCCACCATTTCAGCGGGTCTGGCGTCATCACAACAGGCTCACGGCAGTACACTTCGTACTTGTCAAGGGCGAGAGTGAGGGCGAGGGTGAGGCGAGGGTGAGGGCGAGGGCGAGAATGGGAGAGAGGGTAGGAGTGGGAGCGAAGAAGTGATAATTTCATAGAATGGCTTAATTATGTACCTTTACATACAAATTACTATAGAGAGGTACTTACGGTCGCAATTGTGACGAGCCGCGTATTGCTTCCTCTCGAGTTGGGCAGCCGCGTATTGCTTTTGAAGAAGAGGAAGAAGAGGAAGAAGAGGAAGAAGAGGAAGAAGAGGAAGAAACAGAGCAGGAGCGTCAAGAAAAACTCATTCGCGAAATCGAAGGCCAATACTGAGCTAAATACAAGGTATTGCTAAACGCTAGATTAACTCGGAAACAAAAAAATGCTATAATAAAGAAATTCAATGGCGTTTACGGCACAATTTGATAGTAAGACTTTGTTTTTGGTTTCATGTTTGCAGTTTTCAGGGTAGCACAAATAATCATAATAATCATGACTAACTTATGCGCTTTGTAAATAATCATGATTATGATTACGACGACCTAATAATCATGATTATAATTGGTTTTCTAACCGTGGCAGTTTTAATGAGCTTAGTTTATCCTTTCTGCTTTGTTTCAGTCCAATCATCCATACTCTTTCAATCCGCTAGGTTTCCATTATTTCGTTTTAAATCTGTCATTAACCCCCTTACTTGGATAAGTCGTCGAAGCTTCTGGCAATTTTTGGTCATACCCTGCCATTGCCGTGCCATTACGATTTTAAGTCTAGACTTCTGCTATGATACTATATTACCTAAATATAGCATGCGACCATTAATTAGCACGGCATACGCCTTGTGATATCGTCCATGCTGAGTCAATCAGAGTGCTTTGCTCCTAGGATTGCATTATGTCGGCACACTACGTTAAATCTACTGCTTCGGACATAGTAAACGTGCCATTTGTAAGCACGCATCCCCTAAGCATTCTCCGAACCACGCTAACTTCCCCTAGAGCCACGAGACCTGCCGTCAGACCTTTTCGCAGAGCAGCAACCTTCAGACACGCAATATGCGTCATACTAACGATCGCCCTTACGGCTGTGTCCTGTGCAGCGAGCAGTTCGCATCAGTGAGCAGTCTACGCGTTCACAAAAACACACACAACGGTATAAAGGAGTTGAAGCGCAACCTTGACCATTGCAATGAGCGTTTCAGATATCCTGGTGACCTCAAGAATCACCAAAATAAACGCCATACCAACTCGGTACGCAATCTAATGGTTAACAATACGAACTATGACGGGGGTAAGGGGCATGAAAAGGGCGGGTATAAATATGAAGAGGGGCAAACACACGCATTTGCGGATAGGATGTGCGTAGAAGTAAGTTGAAAACCTTGCTTCTGATACCCTATTTTAGCAGCTAACATTTACGAAATAGGATTGGGATTTGACTTTGTCTACAGCAACGAAACATATAACCCCCCTTCAAGAAACTCTATTAGCAGGTACAGAATGGGATTGGCCAAGTTAGTTAAATAGCTTATACATGGCACTTACTGCGTTGCATAATATCCAAAGATTCTTGTTGAGACCTTAATATCATTTGAAGTCACGCTCCTAGCTCTTCAGTTCCAGAACCTCAGCGAAGTGCCCCACCTTCAGCTTCAGCGAGGAATGCGCTTCCACTTCGTTGAATAGCTTGTCTGCCTCCAAATTCCTACATTACAAATTGGGTTGCCCAGTCTTCGTTATCTGGTCATGTCTTCCGGATCGTCCTCATAGTTTGTCAGGCATTCATCTCGAAGGTTTGGGAACAGTCGATCAGTCCATAGGCAATCGTTTTAATAAAGTGTATTTATCGTGATAATCCGCCTTTGCAGAGTATCTAGGCATTGTCAAATAATCGCAGGCAGACAGCGTAAAGTATTCGTCTCTTATGGGGGAGATCAGGATTGAATTTGGGGGGCTTCTGCAGCGTGAGGCCCAGAAGGATAGCTATGGACAGCAACTTGATTACCAATTTAAACTTTGGCATAGGTATAATCGTTCTCCCCAGTAGTCGAAATCGTCTACACAAGTTTCCGGCTCATCATATATTTGGCTGTTATGGTCGTGGATATCAGACTCCGGTATCAATACCGCCTGCCTATCATACTTATGACCCCTAGCAACTACCACATATGGCCACATAGAAATTCTCCATCGGAGTAAACCAGTTTCATCGTCCTTATATTCGCGACTTTCTGCTTCTCGAACCAATAGCTGTGCGACTTTTCGCTTCTCGAACCAACAGCTGTGAGTTTGCCTGTTCGGTATTGGCCCCCTCTGGATCTTCTTCTGTTTTTCGAGGGAGTTCATTTTCTCTCGTGTCGGGTTGGTTTGATTGCTGGCAGTAAAAGTCGTCCAATTGGTTGCCCCGTTTCTGACTGAGCTCTTCATTGTCTGTAACAATGATCTCCTCGGGATCGACAAGGTCAACGCAGACGGTAGCACTTGCGCCGAATTCGCCCCGTCGGTAGCGCTCCTCCATGTGGTTCCGTCGCAATTAAGAAATTAGAAGGCTGTGCCCATGCTGGAATTACAACAGCTCACGACATTTCTAACGCTTTCGCTCTGGGCCAACGGTCGCATGATGCGCTCTTTGAACTTCTGTCCACCAATTTCAGGGTGGCTATAAAAACTGTTCGCAGGCTAACTACTCATGAGAAAACTCGACTTAGCCTGTTGGTGCGGGCAGAGAGGTGGACTAGGAAGGAGCGTCCGGGGTCTGATGACGTCCATGACTTTTGGAGGGGGAGGAAGGAGCGGGTGAAACAGGCTCATGATGTTGATCTTGACCTCCTCGCTCTTACCACGCAGCAGCTCGCCGGCGCCCTCCTCTTCCAGTCCTACTAGCGCAGTCGTATTCGTCCGGTAGACGAACTTGTTGATGGCCTGGATGAATTTCTCGTGCAGCTCCTTGACCTGGAGTTCCTTCTCTAACCAGTTGTACGTGCTAGCTGCGATTTCGACGCAGTAGATTGCGGTAATCGATCAGGGCCTTTATCGAGTCAGGTGTTAACTTGAAGGCGACCTCGTTCCGAAGCACCATGTATGGGGTTTTTAAAAGTCAGGGTCAGAACAAGGCTGACGACTGATGGCAAGAGCGTCCTGGCTGTATAGACGGTAATGATGCGAGACTAGCAATATCATTTAATGCTGCAGAACTATCAATGCAAAGATAAAAACGCACAATAACAAAGCTTCCAAATTAACACAAAAGCCTTCAGCCAGTTATGGAGAGGCAACAAACTGGTAATCTTGAACTATGGACGAATCACGAGTAGCCCTATAGAAGCGAATAACGATATTACCATGGCCCTAGCTTGTTCGTCCCATCGTACCCCGATGTTTGCTTACGACATAGCAATTCTGTCCTTCCTCGCAATTTCCACCCTCTTTGCCCAAGACTGCGAAAGCCTGCTGGAGTAAAGTTGCCACAGCTTTGGCATCAACTTCATATCTTGCGTACAGTACAATGCCATCTCCTGTTGTAGCGGTCTCTTGTTAAACACCTCGTATGAACCGCCGAGCTCAGGGGCGAATAGCCGCTTGCCCTTGCTTTTCTCCGCTATCCATTGTCGTTTCTCAGACGCTGCCATAACTAGGTCTTTCTCGATACAGCTTGAGAGGCCTTTAAGACAACGTCTAGAGTACATCCGAGTTGCTAATTGAAAGTCTTCTTTGATGTACGGAATAACTCAGATGCGCTGTTCAGCCACTTTGGCGTCAAGTTAGCGTGTATTCAGGATAGTATTTGACCAGTATCACCCGCCGTAGTGAAGGCATCGCCTTGAGTATGTGGACGTCAACCAGATAAGTCTTGTCACATGGCGGGATGAGGATTTGAAGAATTGAGACGGAGCCTAGTCTACAAAGATTTACCCCTTCAATGTCGATATAAATAGGAGGAGGGCTTTCTGGAAGGCCAAGGAGAGAGTCGACGAGGTGAGAAAGAGCCTCAGGGCTGTCAACCAAGTAACCAGATCCTTCTTTCTTGGTTGACAGCCCTCTTACTTGGTTGACAGCCCTGACGCTGTTTCTCACCTCGTCGACTCTCTCCTTCTTCTAGAAAGCCTAAGTTAAGCTTAGCGACGAGAATTGAAGGGATTCGTAGGTCGTATATCGAACAGCTGGAGGATCGAAGGATCGAAGGATCACGGCCCAAATGCAAGCACAACAATGAAATCCCTTAAATAACGTAGAATATCCCTTCTCATTTCAATCATCACCCCCCCCGCCCGATTCTTCCCAAAACTCCAACTTCAGACTCCCGTTACAATAATGGGGGCAGGAGTGGGTGATGTTATGGGGGTAGGTGTGACTTACGGGCTGAGGGAGACGTGGTGAAGAGCTGCTCGGTGGTCAAGCCGAGTTCTTCGAGGGAGGATGGTGTGTTGGTTTGCTAGGGAGGATGGTGTGTTGGTTTGCTAGGGTGATATAATGGGGGCAGGCCTTCCCTCCCTCGAAGAACTCGGCTTGACCACCGAGCAGCTCTTCACCACGTCTCCCTCAGCCCGTAAGTCACACCTACCTCCATAACATCACCCACTCCTGCCCCCATTATATCACCCTAGCAAACCAACACACCATCTACAGTCGCGCCCCGAGATAATGAATTCACACAAGTGACCCGCTGCCGCACCCCTAGCGAGGGGTCCGAATACGTCGCCGACGTCGACGACGTAATTGCGTGCTACAACTACCTCGTGGCCCTCGGCGACTATACCTGCAGAGAGCGCGAGCTCTGCAGGATCGGCAGCGCTAAGATCACGGGCATAAGCAAGAACGGGCATACATGGTCTTGGGGTGTTCCTTTCGTTTTCACTACCGTGAAATGTGTGAGCTGTTACACACAGGCACAAACTCGCCTAGCAGCCGTCCTTCCATTTCTGGCTCAGGTCTTGTCCTATACTTCGACGTCTTCGAGCTCTTCGGGTCTGCCCTAGTCTTGCATCTAGTATGACAGCACCGCCCGGCGGGTATCCACCGGATCTCGCCGCGTTATTCACATCTGGAATTGGCGTCGAAATTGTGAAATGAGAGGTGGCTTCCTGCATTTGTGTCTATTGAACTCGTGAGCTGAGTTGGCACTGTCTCGTACGGAAATGTCGGTGACGAGGCTCATCAGTGACGACTTCTGGAGAGAGTTCATCCTGCTATCAGACTGCTTCCGCTCCTGATACGCGTTCCGGGCCGAATGAGGTCGGCATCTGTAGAAATGACTACCCCCTGCTTCACCACCAATCTCGCCAGCTCCGTCTTAGCTTGACCTATCTCTGATGCAGGTATCTTCTTGCTGCTCTTTCCATTCTCACACTTCCCTTCTTCGGGAGACCAGCCAGGCTTTCGTTTCCGATTTGGAGATAGAGTTCCGAGTACCGCTCGTGGGCGTATGAACTCGGCTCGTTCAAAGTCAATCCAGGTAATTCCTGGCCGATCCGGGTGGACGAGAATGTTCCGGGCTGCTGGATCACCCTGTAGTACTCCCAACTGATGTATGGCATGCAGACCGGAGATGGCGTCGTCAGCGAGAGTTTGTGAGATTGGCGATCGTAATTGGAATCCTCCAAAGCTTAGAAACATCATATAGACAATACGAACGGCTCCTGCGTAGTATAATATACTGTCCACTTTCGTCTCTCCTAGGTGCACAGGTACGCACTTCCCCTGAACAGGAAGGAGACGATGGTAAATTGTTGATTCGTGCATCAGATCTTTAACACACTCAATCCCGGTGCCTTTCGCGGCAACGGTGTACCCAAATCCAGGTAACTTGACCTTGAAAAAAGCTCCTCGAGCTCCATGAACGTTCATTGTCACACAATAGTCAAGCTGACTGCGCAACAACTCGCGGATATGTCGCATGAATGTATTACGGTCGAGTTGATGACGACCTTTTCCATGTTCCTTGACATTCGGACACTGCCAATCGAGTTCTCCCCCATCTACCATACCCATTAGGCAGTTTGGCGTACAAAATCGACCTAAGTTCTTTTGCCGATGAGTCTCGCTAGAAGCCCCCTTTTTCCCACCACCTTCGGTCCCACCACGTTTGGTAGATTGTGATGGTTGGTTGGGGGAAGTAATAGTGTTTCCGCTTTTTGGAGGCGGTTGAGGACGACTTGGTGTGTCGGGATGATGGTTGTCATCATCGCTGCTGAAAGAAGACGTCACCGAAGCACAACTTCCCACGTATATGTTCTTCCTGCGAGGTCGGAATTGGATCGGTGACCGTATAATATCCCGAGTGACCCTTGGTGAAGGGCGATACTCCGAAGACGGAACTTCGTCATCGGCGACGGCATCCTCGACCTCCTTAACGACGACATTCCATGTCTTGAGCTGACGCAGAGCTTTCCTTATCCATTGTGCACTGCGTGGAGGCGTTTTAAGCGCGCGAAGAGTAAACGCTATAGCCTGACCAACCGCGGTCATATGCAATCGATTGGGCTCATTTCCACGCTCGTCCCAGCCAGTGGACGGCCCGACATCTCCTTTTGGAACAGATAGAGAGTAGTACACGGTCGAGGGATCATCAGGAATGCGCAAGAATATTGTTGCTTCACCAGTGTAGATCTCGCCATATTCCACCCCAGCCTTCACCATATATGAGAAGCCTTGCGTGATCACCGCGGCCACCAAACGACGACAGCGAATTGCCACACTTTCATTCTTGCTTACTTCCACAACCTCGTCCAGGTTCATCTCGGCAAGACCTTTATAAATATGCCCTAAGGTCAACTTATGAGGAGCTTTGTATTCGATCGTCAGCGCGGTCACTCGGCGCTCAGTCTCTCCCTCACCACCGACATTGTAAACGCAGAACTGATCTGCGCGAGGACGGGGAGTTGTCGTTACGGATTCCGATGACTTGGAAGAATCAGTCCATCCCAGGTTTTTTGCAGGGGCTCGAAGGCGTTCCGACCGTCGCGGGTTATCAGCGATGCTAAGAGATTGCATTTCCTCTGTTGTTCGATCCGGACTGAGTGTGTTACTGTGGTTTTCAAACTTGACTGAGCCTTTGAGACCAAAACAATGGCGTAATACGCTGTCTTTAGAGAACCGCTCGATGATCTGGGATACCGGATCCTCCAAGGTGAGTCGAGCAAAGGTATGAAGGTCTAGCTCTGACCCCATCTGGCGCCGGCGAACGGCTTCTCCTGACTCTGCCAGTGTATGCAAAGAGGTAAAGTGTCGTTCAAGGACGAATTCTGACTCCATCAAATCGACCCACGTACGTGCCTGCTCCGAGTCAAACTCTGGCCATGGCAAGATTCGTTCAGGGCGGGGTTTGTGATGTGCGTTTGCGGCATCGCCTTGCGTGGACTGTGTACTATCAGGTTGAATGGTCAGACCTAGGCAAAGGTGAGTATGGCATGCATCGAGGAACTCGGGTAGCGTGGTCTTTCCGGTCCTCCGTTCGTAGCGCTGTCGGTCTTCTTCGCGGAGTTGTTCTGCTTCTTCGCGAAGTTGTTCTGCTTCTTCGCGAAGTCGTTCTGCTTCTTGTTCCCGTTGTTCTGCTTCTTCGCGGAGTCGTTGCTCTTCTTCGCGAAGTCGTTCTGCTTCTTGTTCACGTCGTTGCGCATCTGCCTCGCGTTGCTGCGCTGCCCGAAGCTGTTGCCGCAGAGCCTCAATTTCTGACGACATCTTCGAATGCTGAATTAAAGGGCTGGCTTTCAAGTATGCTTGATGTTGGAGGTAATTGCAGAATACGGGGAACTACACACGAATTTGTGTGGTAATCTCCGACAACCGTAATCAGTCTCTTCGGGCAAAGGAGCAGAAGCTTCACAGTAGAGTACAGTAAAACAGTACAATATAATCAATTGAATTACAACCTAATCTACGGGCCTACGTACGCTATTTGTAGGCCTGGGGGAAACCCCCAAGACCCTGACAAGCTGAGGGGCTTCAGCTGAGCTCAGTAAGTGGCTTTCAATAGCCTGGCGCCACTGTCCAACTCGTAAGCCAACCGGGAAGCTAGACAGTTCCCCGGGGAAAACCCGTCATTTTTGGGCGTAAAAGTGCTTTGGTTCCAGTCTAAGTCTTCTAAGGTTCAACTTGGTATCGACTTGGTATCGAGTATATTGGGGGTTAGCTTAAGGAGCGCCAAAGAGAACCCAGCGGAACGAGTGTATAATGTTGCACAGCATATTGGTGCCCAAATCTTCCTGCCAAGCAGCTCAAGTACTTCTGCCTGCTGCTACTCGAGTAGTAGTATGAAAGAATCCCGTGAGGGGAAGGCTAGAAGAATGAACAGAAAGAATGTGCCATTTAAGGTGGACACTGTGCCAGCAGCGGTAATGATGAACCAGAACAGAAGTCTCCGGTGTGGTAAGTGGCTCTGATTTTGAAATATTGCTTGCTGCTGGTCGGGCACAGCAATCCGTTCCGCAGCCTACTACATCGGATGACAATACCATTACAGGAACAACCTGCGCTTTCGCAAACGTCATTGTTGTAATGGTGGGTGCACCAGATGTGAGAATCTAGCCACCCAAGGAAGGGATGAATTTACTAAGACAACACACTGTCTTAGGAAACAGAGCCAAAGGGTTGTAGCTTAGACTATTCCACAACGCAGCAATCAGGTGTGTGATGTAGTGAAGTGGTTCAGACAAGTTGCAACAAATGTTGAGTCTGGGAACTCAGGGGTAAGTCAGAGGTTAACACCTCACTGACTTTTCAGAAACAAGGAGTAACAAGATGAATGCTTAGAAGCTTAGAAAAGACGTGGAAGTACGGAGGTAGCGTTCAAAAGTTTTGTCCTGCCAAGAATGCCAAGGTATGCATAACTTCCCCTCACTTGCGACCGACGAACTGACTCAATCGACAGTGCCTTTCAAGTTCAAACGATGGCACCGAACACGGATATCTCGACGAGGGCCCTGATTGTGGCCCTCAAATCTCCGACTGGAGGAAAGACTTCAGCGGAAGTTGCTGAGAAAACTGGCCTGTCAACCCGACAGGTGAACCGGATATATACTCGCGCAATTGAGCGTGGGTTTGACCCCAACCATATGCCACTCACCTTACGAGATGAGTGGTTACAGGATGCTCCCCGGTCTGGCCGCCCGACAAAACAAACAGCTGAAGTGACAGAGGGAGTTGTCGCAAAGGTGTGAACCGACCGTTACGGAAGGGAAAAAACTTGTGCTGATATCGCGGGGGAACTTAGCTTCCAAGGTATCGACATCTCCTCCATGACAATATGGAGGGTTTTAAGGACTGCTGGCTTCCGGAAAACGAAACCGACGAGGAAGCCAGGGTTGACGAAGAAGATGAGGGCGGAGAGATTAAAATGGTGCCTCAACCATCAGCACTGGACACTCGAGGATTGGAAAAATGTAATATGGTCAGACGAGACATCTGTGGTACTAAACCATAGACGGGGAGGTTATCGGATATGGAGAAAGGCAGACGAGGCATTTTTACGGAGTTGCATTAGGGAACGGTGGAAAGGATACTCAGAATTTATGTTTTGGGGATGTTTTACTTACGACAAGAAAGGGCCATGTCATTGTTGGATCCCAGAGACAAAAAAAGAACGAGACGCTGCAGAAGTTGAAATACATGGAATGAATGAAGAGTTGGAACCAATTTTACGTGAAGAATGGGAATTATCAAATGGGATACGCCGAATGTCTCTACGCAATCTTCCTGGTATAAAGCCACTATGGAGATGGAATAAAAAGAATGGGAAGTTAAGCCGTGAGAAAGGAGGAGGGGGGATAGATTGGTACCAGTATCAGAAAAAGATTCTGATACCAAAGATGTTCCCATTCACAAGGGAATGCATGGTAGACCGTCCGGATACTATTGTACAAGAAGACAATGCTCCATCACACAATCATTACATTCAGCGGCGAGTATTTCAATTACATGACATTAATCGCCTCTTCTGGTGCGCCAACTCTCCAGATTTAAATGTCATCGAGCCGTGTTGGCCATGGATGAAAAGGAGGACTACAAGGAAGGGGGCACCAAAAAGTCGACCAGACACGATACGAGCTTGGGAGACCTGTTGGGAAGATCTCCCTCAGTCGCAAATCCAAGCCTGGGTCGAGAGGATTCCTCAACATATCCAGAAAGTCATCGAGCTAGAAGACGGAAATGAGTACAAGGAGGGGCGAGAAGAACACTGATTTCATAACTATGTACATAACTAAATTGTGAACTGTGGCGTTTCCTAGCGTGGGACAAAACTTTTGAACGCTTCCTCCGTATGTGATAGTCAATTTACTGTATTGTCTGCTTGCCCTTTCTTAAGGAAAGGGCAATCCTATTTATGCTAAAGGAGTGTAGTTCTCTCATTTTCCAAGACTTTCCATGACTTACCAGGCTTGGTAACTGTAGTCGACGTAAGAGAATCCCATAGAACCATCTCTTAGGTTCATAGCCTATAGGAAGTAAAAGGAGGTCCAAGGTCAGAGTACCCCTATAGACAAATTATGTCATAGACAAATTATGTCATAGACAAATTATGTCATAGACAAATTATGTCATAGACAAATTATGTCATAGACAAATTATGTCATAACTTAACCAATCTTGTGGGTAACTAAGGAGTGATGATGTGTAATGAATCATAGATGGTTGTAGAAGCTTTTGGAGCAATCGTTCATGTTCCTAGGCCTCTAGTTGATAGAGATATGTCATGTGTAGTATTAGCCCAGTAACTAATTGTTACGACGGAACAAGAAGGCTGGCCAACTACAGGACAGGAAGGAGGGAGGTCGCATGAGACCGGCCCTGGTACCTGGAGGGGCAGCGGGGAATAGTAGTTCCGAAAGTATCACGTGACGGACTCGCAGGATGATCAGAAGAGTCCTAAGAGTCCAGGACTCCGAGGACTCGAGTGAGTTCCCAGGAGTCCACTAGGCACGTGATGGACTCGCAGGATGATGAGAAGAGTCCTAAGAGTCCAGGACTCCGAGGACTCGAGTGAGTTCCCAAGAGTCCACTAGGCACGACGCCACTATATAAGTAGATAGTATTTCCTTAGATAGGAGCTTCGTGCTCAACTCAATACAGTATTTGTTATATACTAGTAACGTGTTACTTGAAGCCTTTGTGTCTGATCCCCTGCCTCCTCTGATAAGTAAACCTTTACGCAAGAGAACCTCTGTGTCTTCTATCGTTTAGAAGTCAGCGTTACACTAATGTAAGGACACAGGGCACCCAGCTCACAGTAATAGCATATGAGAGTGCGAGTCGGAGGCTAAACGGATGCTATCCTATAGGTCTACTACGAAGGATACAAAAAAGATGAAGGGGGAACCCCGTTGAGTCTGTTTCCTTAACTCCCGAAACGGGCCCGACTCGGTTATCCCAACCCTAGCCCTGAACCTTCCACCGCAACAGGTCTACATCGGCCCTGAACCCTATACACTTACCGTCCCCCACTATAGTGTAACTCGCTATATGCTCCTCTACTGGTTCGAAACCCCACCGAGTCGGATTCCATGCTTGTAGTGACCGTAACAGTTCTGAGACAGGTTCTTCGAGTATCTAGGTACGGAGGCATCCTTACAACTAAGGAGTGATATCATGTAATGAATCATAGAGGGTTGTAGAGATATGCTATGTGGTCATATCGGCCCAGTAACTAAGGAGCAATGACGTGTAATGAATCATAGAGGGTTGTAGCAATCGTTGAGTAGTATTGCTCTTGTTGTTGGTGTGACAAGCCAAAATATGTATAGTGACTTGTAGGTTTGAGGAGGAGATTTCTAAGTTTGCTCTTGAGTTTGATAGCAAACTGAGTGCACCGAATGTCAGTATGACAGTCCGACTCAGGTAACCTGCCCTAACTCTCCCCACGTGACCGTAACATGTCGACTCCGATCCCTTCCGTCACTGAGGGCGGAGGCATCCTTACAACATATGCATTTAATCGTATTCCATTGATCTTTTTTTTTAGTGAAGAGCCTTGTAAGGATCTTCTTCTTCTGAAGCTATATAGTGATGCAGCTGATGCAGGAGTGACGGCGTTGTGTCGCCTAATCGGGAAACCACGCCCTGGCTATTTGAGTCCAACAGTTGTTGAGTTAGCTAGGTCAATTAAGTCAGTTGGGTCAATTGAGTTGGTCGCGTCAGTCGCGTCTGCTGCTAGGTCGGTCGGGTCTGCTGCTAGGCTGGTTGATTTGATAGGGTCTACGAAGCCACTAGTTAGAAATAGCCGAGTCTGCTAGATTATGGCAGGTTTAATGGGTTGGTTGTTTGTTGACTTGACTGAGCTGGTCAACTCTGTAGACTCGACACTTATTTAACTACACTTCCTCTGCAACCTCGCGTAATATCCGATGGCAGCATGAGTATAAGTGATCCTCAAACAAAATAACCACTGCCTTGAGAAGTGGCTCGAATACCCGCTTTTTATTCTGGTCCTTGGATATGAAGTTTACCATTGGAACTATAGCCTCTTCTACAGTAGCACCCGTAGGCAGCTCCCCTCGTGGATGTATATAAAATGCAGCTTCGACTCAAAGCTGGAGTGCATGTCCTTTATGACTTCGAGTAATATCCGACGAGCCATCCATAGTTTCGACTTTCATACTAGTTTTGTCAAAGTTGGTGCCGGGAATGTACGAGAGCAATACGTAGTTTTCAATGTTGAGGCACAACTGTTGGAACTACGTTCCTAGATGTACGCTGCACAGTGTAGCTTGTATACTGGCTATATATATATAGGGCTTCGCACCCATAGTTTACTCAATCAAGTCGTCAAACTCCAATTATGTGTTCAACAACAACTCCACCTTGGTTGTCAACGCAGCAGTAAACATGGCGACAAAGCTACGTCGTCTGCCTTTCCATTGTTCAAGTCCTTCACCCCATGTAGAGAATCCAGTACGACTGTGGCCAAACAACCTGCAAATACTCGAGAAATTACATTCCTCCGGACACTCCACAACAGTAGTGTGTATATGTCGTACAGTCTGCCTCGAGAAAGATTGCTAATCATAGCGCTTTGGGTAGGTCATCCCACAACATAGTCGGGCTTGCCAACAAACGCTGAGGGAAGGATGAGGCAATAGGAGGGACAGTCAGGACGTTCACTACATGGACTAAATTGATCGATTCAAATAGCTAGATTAAACTTCTCAATAACCTTTCTGGGGTTTCACTTGACATACAAAATCTTTGATCATCGATAGCCCATATTGATCGTTCTCAGGCGTAGCAAACTTGAAATCCTCCCTCGTCCAGCCTCTCGTCCCAGCCTTTATACCTAAACGTTCTCCCTCTCGCCGACAAGAGTCGAAATCTGTGATGATTGGATTGTCATCATTCCCGCTCATCAGGATAATAAGACCCAGCTTATGAAGGTGTTGAATGCCATTCTGAATACGACCTAAACAGAGATCTGCATCGAGAGGGCGAGGGTCTTTGGATACTCTCTCTGATAGAGTCATGCCGTACTTGACAAAACAAAGGCCTGTTATTCTTCCACCATCGACTATACACCCAAGATATTGAGCAATATTCGGGTGGGGGCATACTCTTAGAATCTCGCAAGCTTCAGCCTCAATAGGAGGGTGCTGAGTTCAGTAGAGGCATCCGTTTCGCCGTAATATAGTAAGTAAGGAAGGCCGCTTCGCATAACAGTTTTGAGGAAGCGGCTCCGGAGCTCGTGTGAAATCTGTCGGAAATGGAGGCCAAATTTGTGAAGTTGGAATCGGGCTAAGGACCAGCTCGTTTAGGTGACCATGTTCTCAAGCACTGTCGCGGCGTACCTGGCAGATCTCAGGCCCAACAACGATTCTTTCTTATTCATCAACTATTATAATGTAGATTGTAATTTAAATGATAATATCTCAACATGAATGGAGTAGTATTTAATATAAATGGCTCGAAAATGAAACCTCTTCCTTTCGCCAAAACGCAACGCCACTAAAGATTCAAAAAAGAAAAGAAGAAGTCGGCAATCCAAGCGTCGCATATACCTCATCAGCATCTCGCACTTCTACCTTCTGCAAATCCGACCATGTACCATCCCCCACACAGCCCGCGTATAGCACTTCACCCCCCCCCTAGCCATCCACACCGCCACCGCCACCCCAATCACCGGCACCACCAGCGCCCCCGCAGCCAAAATCACATTCCCCTGATGCCGACTCGCCTCCATAACCTTACTATACCTCATATTCCCAAAGCTAACCCTCGAATACTGCGTCGCCCACCCCAGCGCCGGGAAATAATGACTCAGCGTCTCCTCCAAGCGCTTCCTCAGCTTGTACAGCGGTAACACGACACCCTCGCGCATCTCGACGTAGTTCGCCAGCGCGAGGGAGCTGATGGCTGCTGCGTCGGGGGTGCGGAGGGCGGTGTAGCGGTCTAGTGATTCTGGGGTCGGGTTGGTGGAGCGGGGGAGGAGGTCGAACAGGACGCGCACGTCTTCGAGGCCCGCGTTCATGCCCTGGCCGTAGAAAGGAACCATAGCGTGAGCGGCGTCGCCGAGGATGACAGCCGAGGCGCGGAAGTGGTAAGGGGAGCAGGTGAGGGAGATGAGGGGGAGGTGGGGGTTGGCGTTGAACTGAGCGATGAGGGAGGCCGGGGGGATGAGGGCCGTGACGCCGGGGAAGGAGGCGTTGAAGAAGGAAGGGATGGTAAAGGGGTCCGTGGCGAGGCGGGAGAATTCAGAGGAGGGGAGGAAGAGCGTGCAGGTGAAGGAGCCGTCGAGGGAGGGGATCGCGATGAACATCCTGTCGCTGCCGGGCCAGATGTGTAGGTGGTTGGGGGAGATGGTGTGTTTGGAGGTTGGGGTGAGGTAGGCGTTGGGGGCGATGGTGAATTCGCACCAGAGAGTGTCGATGTACTCCTGCTTGTAGTCCATGCGCGTGTACTTCATGAGGTGGTAGCGGGTGGCGGAGTGGGCACCGTCGGCGCCGATGAGGAGGTCGAAGGTGATTTCGACTTCTTGCCTTTCGCCGGCGGGGGATCTCGTCTCGAGCCAGGCTTTGTTGTCGGCGAAATTTGCGCCGACGAGCTTGTGGTTGAAGAAGATCTTCACGTTGGGCATTGACTCCAGCTCGTCGAGGAGGTGCTTGTTCAGCCCGCCACGGTCGACGGCGAAGATAGTCTGATGATATTAGATGGGTTTGATGGGGATGTGAGATGACTTACCCTGCCGTGGATATCGTAGTCCTGGGATTCTTCGTAGAGGCGCCCCGAAGCTTTCTGGCCGTGGATCATACGGCCTCGCATGGGGATGGTGTCAGCCATGATACGCTCAAGTAGGCCGTCCCTTCCACTGGCTCGCAGGGAGTTGATCCCACGCTCGGAGAGAGCAAGATTGATGGACCGTGTGAAGTTCAACGGCGTTGTTGAAGGGTCGCGGAGATCTGTTATATGTTAGATTGTGGCCTGGTGAGGTGAGAATGCATAGAGGTCCCGCGAACTCTCAAAATGAGACTGCTTCTCGAATCGACACAAAAACCATGACAAAACCCCAATAGACGGCAAAGAAAAGTAGCAGCTGCGTATAAAAAAGGGTATATATTCATAGATGATAGATAGTAAATGATATCATTACCATTTCGTAGCTCATACACTTCCACCTCGAAGCCCCGTTCAGCCGCATATATGGCCGCCAGCGCTCCCACCGGCCCCGCGCCGACGACGACAATCTTGCTCTTTGTCCCCGATTCATGCTGATTTTGGGTTTCCCGGTCATCCGAACCAGAATCCGAACCAGAATCCGAACCCCGAGAGCCCGTGACCGTCCATGTCACGCCTGGCTGGCGCTGCTTTGAGTCTAAGCCGAGGTCAGACTCGACGATGGAATATGAAGAATCCATGTGGCGAATAATATGTATGTGCGTATAGACAAAATACAAAAAAGAAAAGGAAACAGATGGGAAATGACGGGGCTTTAAGCAAATAGCGTTACGCAAACCATGGCGTGTCACTCGGGTCAAAAGATGAGGCCGATGATCCTCCGATGAGTAAGCTTGCTTTAAAACGTGCTAAGCCACTTTATTCTAGCCTCGCGGAAAATGTTCAGCCTCGTCATGATTTTCTCAGCCTTGCAGATGTTTTCATCGCACTCAGCCTTGTGTGGCTCAGTCAGCAATACTGTGGTGGCGGCTGAAGGAACTTTTGGTTTTAACAGTTGTCTTTGAGAAGGCGCAACGCTTTACATCAGAAAGGAATATCTTCACCACACATCCTTAGCTACACGATTTACAGCGGGAGATCAGGCATACATAGGATATATTTGATATCCAGTTTTGTAAAGCTCTACGCCCCATCGCCAGCAATATGACTGCAACCACTGAGAAAAAGCGCACATGCATCAGCACCGACTGCCCAAACGAGGCTGGCACTCTGCAATGCCCGACGTGCTTGAAGCTTGATATCAAGGATAGCTTCTTCTGCTCGCAGGACTGCTTCAAGAACAATTGGGTATGTGGACTCCAAGGCCTCTCCGATGTGCCCCACGCGACACCAACGAGTACGAAACTGACAGACGCCGCAGTCCACCCACAAGACCGCCCACAAGTCAAGTAACTTCCTCCGAAAACCTCATAGTGCCCGGTGTCGTATCTAAACCAGATCCCCTTACAGGTCTCTTCAATCCCTTCCCCACCTACCCCTTCGCAGGGCCACTCCGGCCTGTATACCCGCTGTCTGATACACGAACCCTCCCCGCATCGATACCCCGCCCCGACTACGCCAGAGATGGCATCCCAAGGAGCGAGCGCGCGCAGGGACGCCAAAAAATCGAGATTCTAGACAAGGCAGCGCAGGATGGCATGCGCAAGGTGTGCCGGCTGGCGAGGGAGGTCCTGGATATTGCGGCTGCGGCGGCGGTTCCTGGCGTCACGACTGACCATATCGACGAGATCGTCCACAACGCCTGCATCGAGAGAAACGTATGCCATTACACCCCATGTTTGTAGGAACATTTGCTGACGTCTAAGCAGTCATACCCCTCGCCACTGAACTACTGCCACTTCCCGAAATCCGTATGCACCTCCCTCAACGAAATCATTTGCCACGGCATCCCCGACAAGCGCATCCTCGTCGACGGCGACATCCTCAACATCGACGTCACCCTCTACCACGGCGGCTACCATGGCGACCTCAACGAGACATACTACATCGGCGAGAAGGCCCGTAACGACCCCGACTGTGTGCGTGTGGTCGAAGCGGCGCGTACCTGCCTGAACGACGCCATTGCGTTGGTCAAGCCAGGCGTCCTCTTCCGCGATTTCGGAACCGTGATCGACAAGCACGCCAAGTCGCAGAAGTGCGACGTCGTCAAGGCGTACGTCGGCCACGGCATCAACAGCCTGTTCCATTGTGCACCGAACATTCCGCATTACAAGAACAACAAGGCGGTTGGGCAGGCGAAGGAGGGCATGTGCTTTACGATCGAGCCTATGATCAACCTGGGGTCGCACAAGGATAAGACCTGGCCGGATGACTGGACCAGCTCGACGCAGGATGGGAAGAGGTCTGCACAGTTTGGTAGGTTTTGCGGATCTGATATTTGTGGAATTGGCTGACTTTCTCATAGAACACACACTTTTGGTGACAGCGGATGGGGTGGAGGTTCTCACGGCCAGGTTACCAAACTCACCTGGGGGCCCGGTGCCAATGCCAGTCGTAGAAAAAGTAGAGAATGGGACAAAGGCAGAGTAGTGGCAGCAGCATGACATGCCTTTGGTCGGCACGGGGCGGTCCCACAGTGTAAATAGGTGAAATCTGGGGAATTAACTGAGCCACTGAACCCTTAAACTGCCTCAAGACATGACAGTCCGTTTTAAGTCTGACGTAGACGTGAAGTATTGGCCTACTCAGGTACACAAAAACTCACCATTATGAACAAAATGCAACCGTGAAGAGTGACGAATTGATCGTCCCTTGCATATCCTCACGTGCAGTGCAGTAAACATTTGAGACCTATTACCCCAAAAAACCAACAAAAATGCAAAAATATGAGGTGGCTGGTGGCAGTGCACTCTAAGGGTTTAGTCGTGTGGCTGGCGCCTGTACCGAAAGGCAAAGATTCTCCATCGCCCGTGCGCGCCAAAACACCCATTTCATCATCTCGGCCTCAAGCTACCCAACCAAGCTTTCCACCTCCTCACGCTTCCTCCTCCTCGCAACTCCACCAAGGCCACGAGAACTCCCAGAGAAGAAAACGAAACCCTCGCTGTATCTTCATCTCCTCCCGTCTATCCTCAAGTTTCCTGCTCCGAGTCCGAAGCCCGCGAAACGACCAACCCCCGCGTCATCACAGCTTCATCGCAGTAGCACCAACAGGAGTCTCGAATCGCGCGGGAAAAGGGAGGGAAGAGAAGAAGAGACGAAGCTTCGCCGTGAGAAAAAGGAGACATAGACGGATCTCTAGCTCGCACGCGATCCCGCTAGGAAACCTATCTGCCTATCATGATGTCCGGCGAGGCCTGGTTATACCTGTTGGCGGTCATTATCAATGCCGTCAACCTGTTCCTGCAGGTCTTCTTCACTATCATGTACAGTGATCTCGAGTGGTGAGTTTCCTCCGCCCCTTGGACCTGGTTTCTTGGCGCAGCACGCGCCGAGATGGGGGCTAGATGCACTGTGCGTGTAGAGCTGACTGGGCGTAGTGATTACATCAACCCGATCGACCTCTGCAACCGCCTCAACACATATATTATCCCCGAGGCTGCGGTGCATGGATTCCTGACTTTCCTCTTCCTCATCAATGGTTACTGGGTTCCGCTCATCCTCAACCTGCCGCTCGTGGCATACAACGTGAACAAGTACGTCACCCCGTCTGCCTGCGTGGCATCGTCCTTTGGGTGGGATTTGGGACTAACACGCGCGCAGGATTGTGAGCAACTCGCATCTCCTGGATGCGACTGAGATCTTCCGCAAGCTGAATGTGCACAAGAGGGTATGCATGTCTCCTATCTACCGACACGATATCTGCTAACGTGACCAGGAATCCTTCTCCAAGCTTGGTTTCCACCTCATTATGTTCTTCTTCTATCTTTACAGGTATGCTCGAACCACCTTATTCCACAGTGAACTTTGACTAACACCATCCAGCATGATTGTCGCCCTTATCCGCGACGAGACGCACTAAATAGCGGACACGTTCTAGACGGGACAGCGATGATTGAATGATCTGCTTGGAAATGTTGGGATAATGACTGAGGACAGCGGGCATCATAGCGAGAGCTTGTCTGTGCGGAGGATCGTAATGTGAGAGTGCTGTGAGAGAGCCGCAGTCGCGGGGGGATGTCTGTGCATGTGGGTACGGTATGGAGTAGCTATATGCTATATATAGCTGGAAGGGGAGGTACAGCGATCGGGGGCGCGATAGATGTGATGAAGTTGTGCATATGAATGGTATTATGTATGCATTTACAGCGTTTGAGTTCCCTTAGTCGGTGTTGACAGCGTCACTTCCAATAAGTTAGTTAGCTCAAGTCTTCTGGCGAGATTCTGATAACAGTAAACGGATCACGTGACCAAATATTTATCGCCGCGATCCTCAGCCAACCTTAAATTTCCCGAGTCCAGAACGTCGACATCGACAGCTCTCCCAAACAACCTCACACCACACACAACCATGGCGGACCTCAACACCTACCCAGCGGACATGGCGCCACAGAACGCGCTGGTCGCGCGCCAGCTCTCCGGCCCCGACCACGCCGTCGTACCCTACAGCGCCGAAAACCTCTCGCGGCCTGCTCAAGGGCCCGCGAACCCGTTCAAAGACGACGTGAACAGCCTGAAGCGCAAGAACGTGCCGACGGGATTTGCGCAGGAGACATACATGAGCGAGCACACGTTCCGGTCGCAGCAGCTTGCTGGGGAGCGGGGGGCGCGCGGGGGGATGACGGGGCCTGAGCTGAAGGCGGAGGCGGAGCGGATAAAGGCGAAGAGGATGAAGAGGGGGGATGCGCTGGTGGTGGATGGGGAGGGGGAGTATGTTGGGCCGTGGGCGGGGTATAAGAGGGCGGAATATGAGGAGAGGGATGCGGATGGGGGGGAGCTGGAGAGTGGAGAGGAGTATGAGGAGGTTACGGATGAGGAGGGGATGGTGGAGAGTGGGACGGCGGTGAAGGCGATGCCGCAGGCTGTGGCGAAGAGGAAGGAGGAGGAGGGTCAGGGGGGGGAGACGACGACGTTTCATGGGGCGGAGGAACGCGATTATCAGGGCAGGACGTATATGCATGTGCCGCAGGACTTGGATGTGGATCTGAGGAAGGAGGAGGGCAGCATCAAGAACTTCGTGCCGAAGAAGTTGATACATACGTGGAAGGGACATACCAAGCCTGTCGTTGCGCTGCGCTTCTTCCCGGGCAGCGGCCATGTCATGCTCAGCGCCAGCGCGGACTCGACTGTGAAGCTATGGGACGTGTACCACCAGCGCGAACTTCTGCGTACCTTCTCCGGCCACACGAAGGCGCTGTCGGACGTGACCTTCAACACCTCTGGTTCGCAATTCCTCTCTGCATCATACGATCGCATGATCAAGCTCTGGGATACGGAGACAGGTCAATGCATCAACCGCTTCACGACGGGCAAGACCCCGCACGTGGTGCGCTTCAACCCCGACCCGGAGAACGCGCACGAGTTCCTGGCTGGTATGAGCGATAAGAAGATCGTGCAGTTCGATACGCGCACGCGCGCCATCGTGCAGGAGTACGATCACCATCTCGCGGCCGTCAACACGCTGACGTTCGTTGACGAGGCGCGGCGCTTCATCTCGACGTCGGATGATAAGAGTTTAAGGGCGTGGGACTACCATATCCCCGTCCCGATCAAGTACGTCGCCGAGCCATACATGTACCCGCTCGTGCGGTCGTACGCCCACCCGAACGGCAAGGCGGTGCTGTTCCAGAGCGCGGATAACCAGATCGTGGTGTATGCGGCGGGAGACAAGTTCAGGCAGAACAGGAAGAAGGTGTATAAGGGGCACAACAACGCGGGATACGCGATTGATGTTGTGGTGAGCCCTGATGGGCAGTTTGTGGCGAGCGGGGATAGTGGGGGTTATGTGTGTGTGTGGGATTGGAAGACGTGTAGGATGTGGCATAAGATTAAGGTTGCGGAGGGGGCGGTGACGTCGCTGGCGTGGCAGCCCCAGGAGAGCAGTCGCGTGGCGGCGGCGGGGCTGGATGGGAAGATTAGGTATTTTGATTAAAGGAAAGGGGCTGAGCTTGGATTGGGAGCATATGGTGGGATTGCAGATGGCGTTCGGGCAGCGGGAAGGGGGGTTGGGGGGTTACATGTAATTCGAAGCGTTGCTCTGAAGGTAGTTCTGGAAGGCAAGGAGAAAATATATGAATGATATATTTGGCAAGCAGCCAGGCAGACTCCCAACACAACACCCAAACCAAACGGCAGGAGCCTCCTGGAGATCAGCCTTTCTCTAGCCTGCCTCTGCCGCGCCGGCCACGAAACGCGAAGGATCCTGCCGCCGGCGTGCGGCGCGGCAGGGACCAATTGGTAGCGGTGTGGCGTGGGGTAGGGGGGACGGAGGGGGGATGAGGGGGATGGAGGGGGGATGAGAGGGGATGGAGGGGGGATGAGGAGGGATGAGGGGGGATGAGGGGGATGAGGGGGGATGGAGGGGGATGGAGGGGGGATTAGGAATATTTTTCTGCTTTTTCCGTCACTGTGGGTTGGGAGAGGAGTGGTAGGGATTGGGGCTGTGAATTGATTTCTATATTTAGCCCGGCTGTGACACCGTCTATTGGGTCCACCAGGGGTCCCACCAGCCGTCAAATCCCCACGCACACCATAGTACCTAGCCTGTCATAGGTAGGTACTTCCAATCTAGCGCGCATCACACCAACAACTCCAGTACCACCCTAAGTACCTGTCCATGCTATCTTGACAAGGGGAGAGGTGGCTGAGGCTAGCTAGCCGGGCGGCCTTCGCTCTTCGATTCCCCGTGGGATTTCTAGACTCCCTTTTCCCTTCTTTCTTGTTTATGTATGCTGCTTCTGCCTGTTCTTTGAGCCTTCCCTTCTGTACGCGCTGTTGTTGTGATTATTGTTGTGTTTATTGTTGTGATTATTGTTGTGCTGAGCGGGAGAACGGCTGAGCTGTGCTACTACTGTGCATACGGCTGGACCCTGGGCTTTTCAGCTGGAGGTGTGAGCCTTGGGCGTGTGAGCCTGGAGACGTTGGACGACGACGACGTGAAACGAGTGAAGAGGAGGATTCTGATTAATAGGAGGGAGGAGAAGAGAAGGAAAATACCCGGGCAGAGACGAACGCTGGGAGGATTATACACGATATCGACGATTCGACATACTCAGAGCGAGAGCTCGACAAAGACAAAACAGGGACAAGATCCCACAGTACATACACTCCGAGTCACCATGTTCATCGATCAGCCGCGTCTGTCGCGGCGTGAGATGAAGGGAGCCCAGATGGGTCAAGTTGTAGGCTTCCCCAGACCCCTACTTTTAACACACGCCCGGCATAATTATACACTCTCATATCCTCATTTTCCTGCTACCAAAGCACTACCTTCACTGCCCTCAATTTTATCCACCTCCTAGAGAATATAGCTAACATTCCCCAAGATAGGCTCCATAATACTCGGCCTCGCTGCCAGCGTAATCGCCTACTACTTCCTCCGCAGATTCCGCCGCAGCCATTCCGAACCAACATACCTACCAACCGCCTACCTCAAGCGCAAATGGATACACTGGGACGTCCCCCAAAGTCGCATGTCCCGCACCGATGCTGCCCACCTGGAACCCATCTCCAGCAACAGCACCGCAGGCCCCAACCGAGGCCAACCCCCCTCCACAGGCGACAGCAGCGCCATCTTATCCGCCCCCTTCAACTTCGGCATAAACTCCGCCTCCAATTCTGATGTGGCGCTCTCGAGCTCGGCAATTGACCGCAACACCTCGCTGCGCTCCATCGCTACCCTCCCCGAATACGCCTTCTACCCCAAGTCGACAGAGCAAGTTCTCGGCCGCGCCGGCGAGCGCGATGGCATCGACACTGTTGTTAAGTTCCCCGACATCGCTGAGGCCGCTGAGGAAGAGCGTCGCGAAGATGAAATGGAAGCCCTGTACCAGGTCCGTCTAGCGCGACGCGAAGAGATCGCTGCTCGCGAGGAGAGGAGGCGGCTGAGACGCGAGGCCCGCGACCGCGGCGATCTTGACACTCTCGCTGAACTGAGGACTAGAGGGCGCCCAGAAAGTAACACTAACCTCGATGCTCTGCGCGCGGAGCACTCGCGCCTGCGTGAGCGCGAACGCGCCGTCAGCCAAGTCTCGTACGAGGGCCTAGGCGTGGCACACCTCGACGGCTCGCGCGTGCGCGCCAACTCCGAGGAATCCGAGCGCCCCCTCCTCGGGGACGCGGGCGACATGGGCGCCGGGGGACGCGCAAGCATGGGCAGCGTCTTGACCTTCGACAACACCGCCCGCTACAGCGAGCGCTACAGCGAAGATGACCCCGGACGCCCACCGATGTACGACGAGATCTCCCTCGGCGCCGGCCGCGATGTGCCACCAGGATACATGCCCAGCGCGTACACCAGCGGCGGAAACAGCACACGCACGCGCCCAGATCTACCACTCAGTTCCCACCCCGTCACGGAGCTTGATCTCGGACTGTGCAGCGCATCACCCCCCATCATCGAACGCCGCGCTAGTGCCTCCCCACCCGTTCCCTTCCCCGATATCGAGGAGGGATACGACACCGACGACGCCGCGGAACTGAACAGGCTGAACAGGCTGAACAGGCTGAACAACAACAGTGGCAGCGGCAGCGGCGCGAGCAGTTCCGGTGCCACCACTGCAGCCAATACATCGAGCTCCCGCCGCGCATCAGCTACGTTCATCGACCCGATTGCCCAACGCGGTCTCTCTCCTAGCCCAGGCCGTCGCGTCTCTCCTCCCCGGCACGTCCAGCTCCCGCGCACGGCTTCGTTCCCCGCCGTCGCTTCGGAGGGGGGATTAACGCCTCCCTCACAATCGCCTTCACCCACACCACCTGGCGCTGCGCCTGGCGGGGCCTCTGGTGGCTCTAGCGGGGCTGGAAATGCGAGTGGAGACCCGGCGCCACGTCGTATGTCGACGCTCGCGCGGAGGAGAATCTCGGTGAATGACTTGATGGGCACGGTTGGGCGGGCGGCGGAGGATGTGGTGCCGCAGAAGACGTCGTATGTGTTGCATACCCCGCCGATGCCCTCTACTACGCCACCGCTGGGTGAAAGGAGGAGGAGTTCGTTTATGGGACTCCCCCGCCTAGGAGGTGGAGGTGGAGGTAATGGAGGACAGGTGCAAGGAGGACTAGGTGTTGGACCTAGTATCGTTGTTGAGAGCGCTACACCTGTCGTTGGACCCGGTGGGGGGGGGAGGGGTGCGCTAGGGTGGGAGAATGAGAGAGCTGGTGGTTAAGTCGAGATATAATTGCCGAATTGTGTGATATATGTGGTGATAAGCCAGGAAGATTAATTTTTTTCGCAGATAAACTTTAAATTCATTCAAATATCCTATCCCACCTGATCATCCAATCCACATACTCCTCTTCCCTCCTCTCCAAACTACCCCTAATACCCCCAAACTAACTAAGCTAATGCCACACTTACCCATACTTCTTCTCAAACTTCTTCAAGAACCCCGTAACCCCCTTCTCCAACCTCACCGCATTCTGCCCCAACTTACTCTTCTCCCCCTCAATCGGCTTCACCTTCCCCATCGCCTCCCCCTCCGTCGGCCGATACACCTGCTGATGCACGTTATACTCCGCCTTCCCCTGCGCCGGCTGTCCACCTTGTGCATACGAGTAGTTCGCGTACGCCAGCCCCGACGCCGTAGTAGCCGCTGGGGCAGCTGGCGTGCTGCCGGGGTGCGGAGCGGCGGGGGAGGCGCTGGGTGCGTATTGGCCTCCTGCTACGCTGGGGGGGCCGGGGAAGTACACCGCTCCGCCTGCGGGTGCTGCCGGTTGGTATTGCTGCTGGTGGTGGTGCTGGTGCTGCTGGTGCTGCTGGTGCTGCTCGTGCGTCGCGGCACGAAGGGGGTTAGCCCCCGCATCCGGTGGCGGGGGTGTCTTTTCGCGGTGAGCGATCGCCTCGGGCGCAGCGGGGGCAGCGGGGTTGTATGCCAGTGGTGCAAAAGACTGCGCTGCGGGCGGGGAGGTGTAGGCCGGGGGTGCGGTGGTGGGTGGACCAGCGAAGGGGGGCGAGTGCTCGTTGATAGCGATATTCTCGAGCTGTTGCACTATAGGGCTCATGGCTTGGGCATGGGGTGGTGGGGTGAGTGCAGCGCCGGCGATGGCGAGGTGGTTGGCGGGGAGGAGGCGCTGGAGGGAGGTGAGGAGGAGGGTTGCGTCGGCGGGGGTGTAGAGGTAGACGTCGATGGTGTGGAGGCGGTAGAGGTATTTATTCTCGTTGCGGGGGTCGTAGGTGGGGAGGCGGAAGTCGGTGGGGGATTGGGGGGGGAGGGGAGGGAATGCATCGACGGTGATGGTGAGGAGGGTGGGGTGCTTGTGGTCGTAGGTTATGAGAACGTTGTCGAGGGCTGGGAGGGGTTAGTTGGGGTTTATGGAGGGGCTGGGGGGGGACTCACGGCCGTCGAAGGCGTCTTGGTCTGGTGTCCCTGCCGAATTGGCGACCTCGATGCGTGCCCGTCGCTGGGCCGCATTCTCGTAGAGGTAGAGGTATGATCCTTTGTCAAAGCGGTGATGCGGCGGCTTTTCAGTCGGCGGGCCGTAGTAGTAGTGGACGTCGGCGAAGCTGTGGTTTCTGTCAGGATATGCCTTCTCTATAGATGGATATATAGGAAGATGCGGTGAAGCAAACTCACAGTGTCGCAGTGACTTCTTCGCCCGGATGAGCAGCCATCGTGGCCTCTCTCCTGTGGGCTTACGGAGTGCGGGGTTCGCTCCTCTCAGCTCGGCGGCTTTGTATATGAAGCTGTTTCTATGCAGCTGTAGCTGTCCAGCTCAAGTGAATAACGTCGTGATGGCAAACAACGACCACAAACGTCGCAAAACCGCGGAAAACAGAGAAAACAGTGAGAGATATATAGGAAAGCAAGGGGAAGAACAGGACGGCGGCTGTTGGTCTTGGCATTTTGTTGGGGAATCGTTCCTGTTGGCTATCGCGATAACAGGGGAGCAAGGAAGTTGCCTGACAATGTGACACCTGATATTTAAGGCAAATACCGAACGGACCCCCATGCTCAAATAATTTATCGATTGGATAGACAAGAACATGAAGCTCGAGGCCAATATACAAATATATATCCCACGACCACAACTCCCACCTCATCCACCGCACCGCGCTTCTCCACCTCGTCGCTCCCACGCTCGATAGAGCTCCACGCGCCCTTTGGTATTTACTCCCCGTCAACCCCGAGCTCCCAACTCCCCCGTCTAACTTCCTCCCCCAGGACCACTCCAAACCCCCCAACTGCACACCACCACACCCGCCGCCCTCGCGGGCTAAGGATCCTTCTCCCGCACACCACCACCACCGCTAACCTCGCAATGTCTCTCGTCAACCTCGCCAACGTGTGCTCGCACCTCCAAAACGCCAGCCGCGCGCGCCTCGGCCTGACCTCCGTCCCCGCCTCGAACATGATCCTCTCCCTCTCCCTCTCCCTCCAACAATCCGGCTTCCTCCGCTCCGTGACCCGCGGCGGCGGCCAACCTCCCCCCGTCGACGCGCTGAGCACCTACGTCCCCGAGCCGGTCACGCAGGAAAACGTAGCGAGCAGGCGGCTGTGGCTGGGGCTGAAGTACTGGAATAACGCGCCGGTGCTGAGCCAGATGGCGATGGTGAGTAAGCCGACGAAGAGGATTTATGTGGATGCGACGGTGATTGCGAAGTTGGTGAGGGGGAGGGATGCGGGGACTGTGAGGGGGCTGAGGAAGCCGGGAGAGTGTATTTTTGTGAGTACTGATAGGGGGATTTTGGAGGCGAGGGAGTGTGTGGAGAGGAAGATTGGGGGGATGTTGTTGTGTAGGGTGTTATAAGGGGGGTTGTAAGGAATATGGGGTGGAAAATGAGGGATGCGGGGATGTATGATACGTGTAACTGCATTGCGTGGTGCTGGTGTGTATAAACCAATTTGTTCTCTTTTACTTTTCGTTCAATGTGTCACTTCCATGTCTTGTTTGCTTCCATCCGCCGAATCGAGCTCCAGCGAATGCCTCGTTCATTCAGAGACCCCAAGCACGGAACCACCTTATGATTCACCCCTTTCTTCTCCTTATGTCGAAGCCTACTTCAACTCAACTCCACGCTTTCCTTCTTCACCTAATACAAACGCACCATCCTGCCAGTCCTTATTATACAACCCATGCAAACCAGAAACAATGGCCTACAACGACTGGCTATACTTCTACTCGCAGTTCTTCTGCCCCGACTGCGGCGGCTTCCACCCCCCCGACGACGGCGGCTACGGAGGCTACCCCGGCCAACAAGGAGTCTACCCCGGACAGCAAGGCGGTTACCCCGGTCCACAAGGAGGCTATCCCGGGCCCCGAGGCGGCCACCCCCCAGGCGGAGGAGGCTACCCCCCCAAAGCAACACCGCCAGCCTCCACCCCGGCCGTGGCGGCCCCCCCATCTACGGCCCCTCCACCGAAACCGCCGACGGCAACACCCCCGTCACCACCGGCCTGGGCAGCCTCTCCTCCCCCCTCCCCCCCTCCCCCCCCCGGCCCCGGCCTCCTCCCCCCCCTCGACCCATCACAGACTTTCCTCAATAGCTCCCTGCACGGCCACCTCCCCGGTTCACGCAAGCATCCCGCGCAAGAGGGATATCCGAAGCGGTTGTATACGACGCCGCCGGATGTGAGTACCATGACGCCCGAACAACAATCCGCGCGCGCCTTCGTCCTCACCGCCCTCGAAATGCTGAACTGGCGCTCCTTCGCGGAAGACATGCAATTCGTCCTCACCACCCACCCCAACGCCATCACCCCCGAACTAGCAAACCAGATCCGATACCTCCTCTACTGCGCGATCCCGCATCTGGAGGACGGGGGCGACGTGCCGCCCGGGGATTACTGTAAGATCCGCGCTGTCTTGGATCGGTGCGCGGAGGTTGGGGAGGTGTGGGGGGGGCCCTGACGTGGGGGTTTGGGTTCGGGAAGGGGGGGGAAGGGCGAGGGAGAGGGGGTGGTGGAGGGCGGAGGGGGAGGGGTGGCCGGATGGGGGGCCGGTGAATTCGGGGGATATTTTGGGGGGATGAGTGGGGACGGAGGGAATAGTAAGGTTTTGTTTTAAGCATATCGAGGATGCAATTAAGCATATCCAGGATGCAATTAAGCATATCGAGGATGCAATGAACTCCTTCCGTCACGCCTGGCTCCAGTGACAACTATATACATGCTCCCCCACCACTCCAGCAATCATCCATCAATCCATCCCCTGAAACCCAATAACCCCATTCGGCGTCCCCCCCTCCCCCTTCACCCCCCCCCTCCCCTTCCTCCTCTTCTGCGGCTTCTCCCCCTCACTATCACTACTATCCTTCTCACTGTCCTCCTCGCTGTCGCTCTCACTCTCACTACTACCCCCCCTTCCACCGTCCTTCTCCGCCCAAACCTTGACTACGTTCCCACCCCCTGAAATCAGACGGCCGTAGCAATCATAGCCCACGCCGATAACACTCTCCACCTCGTCGTGTCTCAGAACATGCCTCACGCCTCGACCTGTCAAATCCACAATCCTCACCTTCCCATCGCCGCAGCCTACAACCACCTCCCTACCCCCCGGCACACGCGCCAACGCATCGAGACTCTCGCCCTCCGCCTTCCCGCCAGGAACAACAACGACTCTCTCCCCCTGATCATCCCACACGCCCCTTTCCCACAGCGTTATCACTCCATTCCCCCCACCCACAACAACTTTCTCCCCACTCCCCCCCGCCCGTGTCGAAAACCCATCCACACTCAACGAACTAAGCAACTCCTCCTGCTGCTCCTCACTCTTAACCAACACGCCCCTCCTCAAATCCGTAACCGCCAATGTCCCCCCCCCGGTAGTAACCCACTGCTTCGCGAACCCCGAGGTGCTCGCATCGGACGGCTTGAGCGGGGTGAGCGAGGAGATATAATCATCATGCGGCCTGTGCGTCGCGGCGGGCTTGGGGGCGCCGAATGAGGAGGAAGAACGCAGGTCGAAGAGGTGCAGGGCGCTGGAGTCGGTGGCGAGGAGGAGGGTTTGGGGCGAGAGGGCGTGCAGGAGGGTGGGGTGGTCGGGGAGGTCGTTGTGCGCGGGGATGAGGAGCTTGGAGGTTACGATGCCGGTGAGGGGGGAGAAGGCTTTGAGGAGGGTGTCGGTGCCTGCTGAGTAGAGAACTGTGGAGGGGGTTAGTTTGATTTTCTAGGTGGAGGTTGGTTTGGGGGGGGGGGGGAAGTAAGTACCTTCGCCGTCTGGGCTGAAGCCTAGGCAGCGGCAGGAGCCTTTGTGGCGGCGCGTGCGCCATTGCGTTTCGATGTGGCTTTTGCCATTGGACAGAGCCGAAAGCGTAGTGGTATCCTCTTCATCATCATCATCATCGTCGGACCCAGCATTGTCCTCCTCCTCCTCAGCAGGAAGGCGGAAAGCCTGAACATGCCCACTGGACAGCCCAACAGCAACAATAGGCTCTGAGGGATGGATAGCCTGGCAGAAGAGCTCGGAGCTGAGGGGCAGCTGGCAGAGGTTCTCGTACAGCGACATGTTTGCGATTGGGGGTCCGCTGGGCGGAGACGGAGGATTGGACCTTGGTGATGGTGGGGGGTTGCGTTGGGGGAGGGTTTCTGTGGTTGGGGTTGGGGTTGGGGTTGGGGGAGTTTTTGGAGTTTTTGGGAGTTTTTGGCGGCAGAATGGGGGTCTCGCCGCTTTTGGGTGGGCGAGGCTGGGAGTTGGAGGAATTTATTTTTCTCATGCGCGAAGGGTCTTATTTTTTGCAGTTTGGACGTGAAATATCTAGATGTTTTGAGGTTGCTATGGTAGAGATTTCACGTAAGATGGAGTTAGGAAGAGGATGACGTTTATAGAAGGTCGGGGATTCAGACAAAGAGAATTCCACAGATGGGTTATCACATTCTTTCCCGTCAGATATTTCAGCCTGTGGTTACGAGCATTCTACGATGTAAACAGTTATACAAATTCTAGAAACATGACAACATATTAGAAGTCTTATAGAAGTTATACAACCAATCGAACCCATACATGTCTCTTCATGACCATAGCCCATGCTTCCACTTGAACCTCCACCAGAAGATAGATGAACACAACTGTAGACACCGCAACTGAGCCACCATTCTTCCTCACAACCAAGCATCAAGCCCAGTCTGCAATGAAAAGAAAGAAAAGTCAAAAAGACAAAAGCCTGTCAGACATCCGTCACCACCCACCCAATCCACGCGCCCAAAGGCAGACGGCAAGACCGGGACAAGATCATCACCACTCTCTAATACAGCCGCCTCTTTCGAGAGCAAAACCGCCACGCTTGCGCGCAGAGCGAGAGTAAAAAGGTATCACTCTTGGGCAGCGAGGAGATAAGTCATCAACCAGGTTGGAATCTGTGGCTTTCGTGAGAAACACAGTATGGGGATGTTTACTAAAGAAAATGATTCCATCTGGGAAGGTGTTAGCTGGTGTTCCGTTGTTCAGACAGCCGCCTGTTTTTGACTGTTGAGGTAGCAAAAGAGCAACTGGTGGGAAGAGTTGGGTTGAGAGCTGGGGGGGGGGTAGACTCACGAAGTAAAATCGACATGAAAAGAAAAGAAGAGAGTTTGGGGGGGGAAGGGAGTTTATATATCTGGCTCGCGTCGCGCTAGTGGGGGTAGGCGAATCTGGTGCATTTCCTGATTCAGATGCAAGTGGATCGAGAGCGCGAAAGAAAAAAAAAAAAAAAAAAAAAGTCCGAGGATGAGATTACGAGGTGGATATTGTTAGATGAATAACTTGGAACTTGACGAAGAGTGCCAAATTAAAAAACGGCAAAAGAATAATATAGCATGTCTTTTACCCTGTAAAGAAGCATATAAATTGGGTTTTCTCATTGTAAAAACAGGCAGGAATAGTAGTTAGAGAATATACCGAAAATACAGTCATGAAGCAGTAGGGCCCAAAGTGATAATTTTGTAATGCATATTCTTAAAATTGAAGCTATTCTAACTACTATATATACTGTTACGGGCTCTATTCCTATGCCTATTCGTGGCTCGGATCCTGAAACCCTCCTGGTTTCGGTCCGTTCCCTAGAGCTTCAGAATCGAAGCTTTTAGAATCGGAAGATCCAGTATCCGGAGGATCACGAAACTGGCTGACACAGCTTCGGTATCAGGGCCCTGATCCCTGTTTCCGGGCCGAGGATTCAACAAAATCAAATCATTCATTCGATCCTGAAGTCTGGACCCAAGACGTTGCGTCTCTATCTAACACATCCAAATAAACGCCAGCATGGTATCATACATTCCCTCCCTCGATCAAAATAATCGGCCGTTAAATCCTCCCAAATATACTCCCACGATTTCCCCTTCCATCTTCATCCCTAAACATAAGCCCTGCTCCCCCCCCCACTCCTCCTGCTGCTGCCTCTGCTACCCCTACTCCCCCTCCTCGACCTATGCCTATGCCTGCTACCATGGCTCTCCCTCTTCACCACCACCACCTCCTTGTGTCCCCCATGCATGTAAGCCAGCATACTAGTAAAGAAAAAGAACAGGCAATTCATAATCGACAGCGCCCAGCTCGCCTTGAGCATCGCACACGTCTTGCTCAACGGAATCCCATAACCCCCAAACCTCACACTCCCCAGCAGCGCAAAGCTAGCCGTGTACGAAGTCGGCGACGTCAGACCGGTGCAGTTATCATCCGAGATGCCGCGGAGGGTGTAGATGCCCCCGATCAAGGCGCCGACGAAGCCGAGGTCGATGAGGGCGACGAAGCGGGCGTTGTTCTTGGAACGGTGGTAGGTGAAGAGGGTGGCGATGGCCCAGACGACGGCGAGGACGACGACGATAAAGAGGACGAGGATGGCGTCGGGGGTGAGGGCGTTGGCGGTGACGTAGAGGTGGATGAACCAGGAGAGCATGCCTACTACTGGGATCTGGGGGGGAGATGTTAGCTAAGGGTTCGAGGAGTAGTATGGGGGTAGCAAGGGGGGACGTACGAGGGTGAGGATTTGGGAGAAGCGCCAGAAGGCGAAGAAGAGTCCGAAGAGCATTGTGGGTGGTTTGTAGTTGTGAAAGAAGGTGGTATGTTGGTGATCGGAATGATCAGAGAAGTGATGCTGTCGAGGTCGCAATACAGGTGTTTGCGACGACGGAACAGGCTGTGATTAGGCGACTTCTTGTCGCGTTTGGCTCACCGCCGAGGTGTATTGAAAAGGACGAATGAAGCCTTTAGTCTGTTTGGTTTGTGATGTCGAGTTTGTACTGTACTCGTTGTTGTGTCGATAGACTCTCAAGCCGCGTCGCTGACCTCGGGGTATTCTCACTTCGCAGCCTGGCAGTAGTGTTCAATACTGATAAGATAACTTCACGATGCGACAGCAAAGAGAGACAGTGAATAAAAGATCGAGAGCGATAGATTACTTACAAATGGGAAAATGGGGGGGTTGGCGGAGGATTTGGGGGTGGTTGGGGTAGTGGAGCCAGGGGGGTCTTGGGGGTTACCAAGGTATGAGAACACGCGCATATGCCCTGTTTCAACTTTTCATATTATCTATATTATATCAAATATACAGAGTACAGCAGGAAGATGAATATCTACTTGATATATCAGTGGTTAAAGGATTCGTGGTGGATGAAATGCGGGATTTCAGCTGTACGCTACCAAGGTATGTGAAATCACGTGATATCGATTCTATCAAATCATGATAACAACTGGCAATGAGACAATTGGATTGAATACCATTCTCAGCACCACATCTCATAGCTACTCGTTCCCACCCCCTTCCTTCCGCGAAGAGACCCTCCCTTTAACCAAGAGCTTTGCCAGATAGTCTGGTATGGCCAGCGGTGGTGTAGATCTTGGTGTGGTAGTTGTTGACGTAGTCGTGAATCTAGGCTACTATCGACGCGGCGGAGAGGCCGTAGCAGGTTGCGCCGGAGGGGTTGTACTCGATGTCGAGCATGCCGGGGAGGGTGATACCGTCCTTGGACCAGCCGCCGCCGTGGGCGAGGAAGTAGTTGGCCTGCGCGGCGCCGGTGGAGGAGCCGGGCTGGGCGAAGTGGTAACCACCGCGGATGAAGCCGGCGTTGGTGGCGCCGACGTACTGGGAGGAGAAGGTGGATCTTGTGCGAGCTGATGATCGGCACTGTATCTGCCGATCACTCGCTTGCCAGACAGGTCTGGAAGGTGGATATGGCAGGCACGCGCACATGCCATAGGACGACAACGCAAGGCATACAACAACTTGGTGAGTCCCTGCCGTGGCGCCGTGGCACCTAGCGTATAGAGTATAGTTCGGCCCATAGAAAAAGCAAGTCGCCGAGCGAGCAGCGCGATTCAGACGTGAGCTGGGTTGTAGATCTCATTGGCAGACTTGCGGGTCATCATGAAGTGCTCCATTGCATCACACCAGGCGTTGTGGCTTGCGTTGAGGCGTATTTTAGTTATGGTTTTGGTTGCGTCCCTGAAGTGAAACAGAAGATCAGTGCGGGGAAACCAAGAGTGTAAGACGGGCATGTGGTCTTGCCGGGGGGTTGCTGGACCGTGGCGGATTTGAGGTGCTTGACAGGTTCCATTGGAGGAGATGGCTGATTCAAGCATTTGCGGCGTTTCGAGAAGGCGGAAAGAAGAAAGCCATTGACGGTTTTAGAGGGGCAACGTTGTGTTGTTGAATCTCCTTGAGGGAAAGAACAAAGGTCAGTTAAACAGCCAAAACACGTGATTGAAACTCAGCTGGAAGAAGATACATGAAGTCTAGAACCATCACAATAAAAATTCATAGATAGAAAGAAGTAATCTTTTATTATTGATGAAGTCGATCATGGTAACTTAAACAGTGTCAGAAAGGCGTGATGAATTCACGTGTTGTGGATTAGCCGCGTCTGACACCCATCGCGCCTGTCGCGGCTAAGCGAATATCAAAGTCGCTCCTTCCCCCAAAACACCACCAAAAGCACCTCTACTGACATTTCTGTGCCTCGCCAGCCGAGATGAAGAAAATAAAAACAATCAACGACAAAGAACAACCCCCCGGTAACTCCTTGTACAGCGATCGGGACGATTTTTTGAAAATCCAGAATGAAAAAGAAAAATATAATAGGTCTCTCACTTGACCGAGTGGGTACTCCACTGCGAGGTCACGGCACTTGAATGGAGACCCCGAGGAAAGCTAGATCCTATCAAACTGACGCGTGCAGTGTGTCGTTATGCTAACCGGCCGAGCTAAACCTCCCATTGTTGGAGGAAGACGAGCAATTGGGGTTTATATAGGGTGTTGGCGGCTGTGGAAGTACAGATGCTGGGAATCACAGCAAATTTTGTATGAGATTCCCAACTGCAGTACTTCAGCACAGAAGTGAAGTCCAGTACCTTACTCTCACCCCAACTAGGCAGCGCACTGGGTACTCACGAGTCGAGTAGTAGAATTTTTACTCACCCAGCTGAGTTACTCACTCATGTCCCGAGTATTGTTGAATGAGGATTACTCACTTGCTGAGTACCTAGTATGGGTCTTGGCAACTCAGTTATATCACGTGTTTGATTAGCCATTACTTATGTTAAAAACGGGGTGCGACTTCATTGATCAAGACGCCATAACTCCAACTCCATTCCCATATTGTTGATGTCCTATTCCACACTATAACCTTTGGCCTTTAGGTACCAGGTTACCAGATGGTTGCCAGAACTCATCTGACCTTCATTCCTGGGTGAGAGACATTTCCATCGATTAAGCCCACAGCTTAAACATCATATCCTGCAAACGCCGAACCAATATCATACCCTTTGCCTGAATTGTCACTCTCTTCGCATGAATAGCGAGGAGGTTTGTCACTATAACTGTTAGTATGTCCCTGTCACTATGTTTAAACATCATACTCTCAAATTCTCGAATGAGGAAGCATTCAGCAGCTTCCTAAAGAGCTAGGATAGCAGATTGCTGGAAGCGAAGATTGGACTTGAAGTCTTCTGTGATTTCCCTAACAAGACGCTGGAATGGGAGCTAGTATCAAGTTGCTGTCTTCTGATATCGCGGAGAGCCTTGGTGCCTATATGTTTATTAGAGAGTTCTGGTAATCCTCTGGTAATCCTCTGGTAATCCTCTTACTAGACTTTGTGCAGCGCGTGGCCTTCTGAGCATGATTGTTGCTAGCTTGAGATGAGCAAACTGGAGCTTTTCTTGCTGTGCCCACAGCCTTTTCCTGTCCCTTTCCGCCAAGCCCAGAGCCAGCCCGTAATCCAAGTGGCATCCTTGGTGCTATGCCGCCAGTTGATCTCCTAGCAGTTTGCTTGGTACGAGTCATTTGCTAATATCAAGGTGAGTTAGTAAAGTAAACACAAGATAAAGAAGTAGATCAAAAGATATGTGTACTTACAGTGAGTTTGTAGAAAGAATATTGCAGAAGAAGAGTATAGTAAAGAGGTAGAGGTTGAAAGGTATGTGTTTTATATGAAGGTGCGCATTGTGGTGTTGTTTTTGGAACAGTAATTCTTTGTAGGTGAATATTCCTTCACAAATATTTTTGTTTGCAACTTTAAAATAACCACGACCTTAGAACCACCTTCCTTGGTTACTCTCCGATCTACACATTCTTCTTCCCTTTTGAGCCTTTACCTCTTCTCTAGGACTTCAACTAAGTTTATTATCTTGATTCTATAGCCAGAACTTCTGGAGATCTCTGCTAATCACGTGTTTAGTTAGTATGGCGAAACTCAAGGCACATGAAGAACTCTCCACTAATGCGAATACTATCAAAGCTCGCAACTGCGTCTCCAACCTTACTGAAGATGAGAAGGCTGTTCACTTAGCACTCAAGGCTGACCATGCTGATCTGAGCTACTACTTAAAGAAGTTATATAAGTCTGCAAAGTGTAAGGATGCCTCCTTACCTAGATACTCGAAGAACCCGCCTCAGAGCTGTTACGGTCACCACAAGCATGAAATCCGACTCGGTGTGGTTTCGGACCAGTAGAGGAGGACATAGCGAGTTACACTATAGTGGGGGACGGTAAGGGTGTAGGGTTCAGGGTCGATGCGGACCTGTTGCGGTGGAAGGTTCAGGGCTAGGGTTGGGATAACCGAGTCGGGCCCGTTTCGGGTACTTAAGGAAACAAACTTAACGGGGTTCCCCCTTCATCTTTTTTGTATCCTTCGTAGTAGACCTATAGGATAGCATCCTTTTAGCCTCCAACTCGCACTCTCATATGCTATTACTGTGAGCTGGGTGCCCTGTGTCATTACACAAAGTATATCGCTGCCTCTACTGAAGACAAGACACGTCTACAGAATGAATTGAAGGTTGAGCGTATTTGTGTTCAGTAAGTTCCTTCTGGTAATCTCTGGTAGCCTCAATCTAACTATAAACAGGACTGAGAAGGGTACCCATGCATCTTGCATTGCGAATCAGAAAGTCAAGAATATTAGCGCCTCTTCTTCTCCACAAGCCCCACCATCTACTCCGCCCAAACAACTTCTGACTGAGCTTGCTGCATTTGAGGGTATCTCAAGTATTCCAATCGATGACAATCATAACAGCGAATGGGAGGATACTGAGGTTGAAGACGATTTGGAGTTGGAGCTTATGTTACAGCGCGAGATATTTTAAATGACGAGGCTGTTCTACCAGATGAGCTTTCCGATGAAGAGATCACTAGCACCCAGGCTCTCTTAACTCAAGCGCACATTGATGTATGCTACCTCATAATCTGGTAATCTTCTGGTGATACTAATAGTTGATAGGCCCATGAAGAGTCCAATTTCCGCAAGTGGCAACATTTCTGGGATAGCTGTATCCACTCATATACGAGAAAGGCTGGAAAGCTGAGAAAGAAGCCTGAGCGTCTCTTTGAGTATATGCCGTGGATTGATGTAGAGGAAGGGTACGTCTCTGATCATCCTAGCAATCTTCTGGCAATACTAATTGTTTATTATAGCACTTTTCACGAGGTTATCCCACCACATAAATATTTCTGTTTGTACGAGCAGGCAGTTTGGAAAGTGGGCCTAATTACCAGGACCTGTGCAGTGGTACCCAAAGTCTTACAATCTTGTCGACAATGGATGGTTGCAAATATCCACTCATAGTTCTAGCTTCAAAGAGGCGTTCTTACTTGTCTACTCTAAGAAGTTTGATAAGGAAAAGTGGGCTAAGGTATCAGCTGCACAGGATATGTTGTTCCTGGAGCTAGAGTAGAGGAGAACTTGAGTTGCTAAAGTTATAGCGCTGGAGTACCTTTCGCGTTGGAAAACCAGGTATTTAAGTACTTCATCGTAGCCAGACTTCTGGTAACCTTCTGATAATCGAGCAATTTGCCAAATGCCATCTCAATACTCAGAGTTGTTTGATTCTGACAGTATTCTCAGACTCTTTTCCGTCTTCTCAACGACTATCCTCATTAAATTAAGTCTGTAAGGACACAGGGCACCCAGCTCACAGTAATAGCATATGAGAGTGCGAGTCAGAGGCTAAACGGATGCTATCCTATAGGTCTACTACGAAGGATACAAAAAAGATGAAGAGAGGAACCCCCGTTGGGTCAATCTCCTTAAGTACCCGAAACGGGTCCGACTCAGCTAACCTGCCTTAACTCTTATCATGTGACCGTAACCTGCCCGACTCAGATCCTTTCCATCACTGAGGGACAGGCATCCTTACAAAGTCCCTGCAGGCCTTGAATATATTGGCAAGTTAAACCAATTCGTCAAATGGACTAAGGATACACACGATATATTCATTGAGTGGTGGAAGCTATCACGATGGTATGAACAACACTCAGATCATACTACAAAACTCCTTATGAAGATTGCATGGGATTCAACCAACTGGAGTTCTCAATACTGGAGAAGTTATCACCAAGGAGCAGACCGGCTTTCTGGAGAACCATGTGTTATTTGTACTTATTGTTCGAAGGCCCTTACGCATCCTGCAATCAAGTCTGCTGGCCCAAAGTCTATGGCAACACATCTTGCATCAGACATTTGCAAAAAGAAGTCACAGATGGGAAGGATAGTCTCTATCAAATGTGAATCAATCAAATGCAACCTCAACAAGTAAGGATTACCAGATTATTACCAGAATTATGTAGGTTAATACCTATAATAAGATCATATTCTCACACAAGAGACATTTTATGAACAAGTTCTATACACAGTTATCTTGACTCATAGCTCGTTCCGCTCAGTCGAGGATCCTCATCAAGACCCTATAAATACTTTAGGTATTAGTAGGTCTGGCCGGCCTCATCAAGCAAGGTGGAGGGATGTTCTTAAGCATATATAATAGATAATAGCGTTCTAATAATCTTCTGATAATCATGGTACTTAGATAGAGGAATATACATGATTCGTTCTCACAGCTTACTAGAGATGGCGAGAGTGATGCTAATAGATGTAATACTTTAACTTAACCATAAAACAGTATTAATCGTATGAGGGACTGTTCACATGATGCATAAATCTTACACGTGATAGCCGAGTACTCACCGGGTTTTTACAGAGTAACTGAGTATTGACCTCACTCACCGAGTCGAGTAAAAGGTTCAGCTACTCACCCAGCTGAGTAACCCACTGAGCGAGTGAGCCGAGTATTGAGCGAGTAGTGCGCAGCCTAATGTCATCCCATGACGAGCCATCTGGGGGTTTTCAGACGGCCAGGCTCGAGCGACAGTTTATCTGAATGCCCTGGAAGGTAAGCTCGAACGCAAGGAGCAGCCTTGAGGAAAGAGTGAAATTTGGCTAATACTCCACTGACGAACACTTCAGATGGCCGACGAATTTGAGGGGGAAGAGCTCTTCGGCAGATAGTCCAGTACGAAGCACATCGATAGGAAGCAAGGCTCTTGCTTCTTTGGTGGTCCATCGATCATGGCCTCTGCTTGTTAACATATATATTTCATGATCGTGAATCTCATAATAATGAGATGTTGGAACTGCGTTCCTGGTAGTACGCTGCACATGCGTAGCCTGTATACCAACTGTGTATATATAGGGGCTTCTCCCCCCGTAGTTTCTCAATCAAGTCGTCAAACTCCAAATTTGTGTTCAACATGAGATATTCGGAGTATTTTTAACAACTTACTCTACTTTGCTGTTCGGACAAAATAACAACACCGTCTATCAGTCACACGGCTATAAATGGGACGAAATTAGCACCCCTTGCGGCATGCGTTGACAGCGGCGTGGCGCTCACTGCCAATCACTAAGTTGGGGGCTGAACTGAGCTAAATCGAGCTGCGCCCATGCCATCGACGGCCTCGACAAACCACAGGAGCGCGAGCCAGCCACCCGATAAAACGGTGTTAATTCCTTACAGCTACAAAATGCCGTGCCGCCCGCAATCCCGGCAGTTGTGCGCACTATCAAAATGCATATTTTGGTATAATATGCACTGAAGCTGCATGTCGGTGGTACAACGAGGGGGTTACGTGGTCGATCCTCCGATCTCCCACTCATAGCTACAGCGTTTACTATAACTTCATTAAAATTATTAATTTGTGCAATGGAGATGTGTAGAGATCGCCGATGAGCATCTATTTTAACGTCTGAAACGTTGGGGCTGACCTGGAATTTAACCATGCAGCGATATGCAGCTCCCTTGCTTTGCGCGCAAAGCAAGGGAAACGCGACTCCGGCTGATTTTGCATTATCTCGATCTTGTGGCATATATGTTTGGCTGCTTTCCCAGAGCCATACCAAACTTACTCGTCTTGGATATTGGATTACTTGTGTTTGGTTTCTAGCTTGGTTCGGTCTAAAAACCTAAAGTTATAATTCACTGTTTGGGTAGCGCATCATGGCGACTCAATTCAATGTCTTCAGCATGCATATTCCCCCACTTTACGCCCTCATTCCCAGTTGCCTGGCTGTCCTAGTAAGTCAAACCGAAATAATCTCGAGAGATAGAATCCCGTTTAATTCTCGTCAGACTGTCCTCTATACACTTTCCCGTGTGATATACAACATTTACTTCCACCCCCTCGCATCCTACCCCGGCCCCAAATCCCACGCCTCCACACGCCTCCTCTACGTCTACTATCATCTCACCGGCCAACTCCCCTACAGATGCCACCAACTCCACACAACCTACGGCGATGTAGTACGTATTGCCCCCGATGAGCTATCCTTCACCAACGCCGATGCCTGGAAAGACATCTACGGCTACCGCCATGGCCACCAGCCCATGCCCAAGGACATGTCCTTCTACAACATCCCCTCCAACGGCGCCCATAGCCTCATCACAGCCAGCCGCGCCGACCACTCGCGCCAACGCCGTCTCATCGCCCATGCCTTCTCCGACAAAGCACTGCGCGAGCAGGAGCCCCTAATCAAGGGGTATGTTGACCTGTTGATCCAGCGCCTGCATGAGCGCTCCAGTACCGGTCCCCTCGATATGGTATCTTGGTACAACTGGACGACCTTTGACCTGATCGGCGACCTTGCGTTTGGAGAGTCCTTTGGGTGTCTGGAAAACTGCACCTACCACCCGTGGATCAGCATGCTCTTCTCCACTATCAAAGCCGGGGCCTTCCTCAGTTCCTTAAAGCGCTATGGCATAAAGTGGATGATGGTGGTGCTGGTTCCGAGGGGGCTGCTGAAGAGTAGGTCGGAGAATCTGCAGCTGACGAAGCAGAAAGTCATGAAACGCCTCGAGCAGGGGACTAGTAGGCCGGATTTCATGAGCCATATCCTTCGTCACAATGATGAGAAGGGGATGAAGGTCCCGGAGATTATAACCAATTCTACCCTGTTGATCGTGGCGGGGTCGGAGACTACGGCGACGCTGTTGTCGGGCGCGACGTATCATCTGCTGAAGAATCCGAGGGTGGTGAAGAAGTTGCAGAGAGAGGTTAGAGAAGCATTTAAGGTAGAAGAGGATATTGATATTGCTGGGGTGAATGGCCTCGAATATATGCTGGCAGTTTTGGATGAAGCGTTGCGGATGTACCCTCCTGTACCGACGGGGCTGCCACGTCGTGTTCCAGGAGACGGTGATGTTATTAACGACCGATGGGTTCCAGGAGGAGTAAGTGTTGGAATCCTGTGTTGGCGCAGACTGTACTGATGGCTGACTACTTGCGAATTAGACAGCGGTGTCAGTAAACAACTGGTCTACCTACCGCTCCGAAGCCAACTTCCGAGAGCCCAACTCGTTCATTCCCGAACGTTTCCTCGACGATCCTCGCTTTGCTTCAGATAATAAGCACGCACTGCAACCGTTCAGCCTCGGACCCAGAAATTGCGTTGGCCGAAAGTAAGTTTTGCCTCTCACGTCTGGACCGGAATGGCAGTGATGCCAGGTATCAAAGTCCACTTGCTGACGATTATAGCCTCGCCTACGCCGAGATGCGTCTAATCCTCGCACAGGTGCTCTGGAATTTCGACATGGAGCTGGCACCGGAGAGCGACAACTGGGCTAACCAGAAGATATTTTCGTTTTGGCAGAAAGGGCCACTGTATGTTAAATTGACGCCGGTAGTGAGGTAGTCAAAGGGATGGAGGCCGGAGTTATTGTGCCACTCAACCGCCTGTAGAAGGAATACGTGGAACAGTCGTGTTTACAGCAATAATAAGTAATATAAATACCCTTGATCATTCAGTGATATCATTGTTTTACTAGACTCCTCTCTGCGTTTCATGTCCCCTTTGAAGCCTTCGCAGCACCCAACTTCCTCAGCCACACATTCCCCAACACCCTCCCCTCCCTCCTCCTCAACCCCCTTCTCTTCTCATCAAACTTCTCTCCACCCCCAACCGCAAGCACGGTAAACAAAGGCATAGTGCAATTACCAGGCTGATGTCTGACAACGACGAGGTGGTGAGACGACGATCAGTAGGATTTGATTCTGGACTGGAGGAACGTAAAGCCGTAGCCGTAGTATCTCTAGCCAATAGGGGGCATTGTTGTCTGCAAGTCACGTGCGTAATATTGTGAATATGTCTTGGCATTGTTTGGGTTGTTATGAGAATGTTATTAGAGAGTAGTCTCCGCATGACAAAACACATCAAGACTCTTGATTGTTTTTGTTGTTTTTGTTTACGACTGAGGGGAGGAGTGTGACTTATTGGACAGACCTTGTTAATGGGCAGACGCCCTGGAACGGTACATGACGAGCAGTGGCAGTTGGGGTTAGGCTGCGCACTACTCGCTCAATACTTGGCTCACTCGCTCAGTGGGTTACTCAGCTGGGTGAGTAGCTGAACCTTTTACTCGACTCGGTGAGTGAGGTCAATACTCAGTTACTCTGTAAAAACCCGGTGAGTACTCGGCTATCACGTGTAAGATTTATGCATCATGTGAACAGTCCCTCATACGATTAATACTGTTTTATGGTTAAGTTAAAGTATTACATCTATTAGCATCACTCTCGCCATCTCTAGTAAGCTGTGAGAACGAATCATGTATATTCCTCTATCTAAGTACCATGATTATCAGAAGATTATTAGAACGCTATTATCTATTATATATGCTTAAGAACATCCCTCCACCTTGCTTGATGAGGCCGGCCAGACCTACTAATACCTAAAGTATTTATAGGGTCTTGATGAGGATCCTCGACTGAGCGGAACGAGCTATGAGTCAAGATAACTGTGTATAGAACTTGTTCATAAAATGTCTCTTGTGTGAGAATATGATCTTATTATAGGTATTAACCTACATAATTCTGGTAATAATCTGGTAATCCTTACTTGTTGAGGTTGCATTTGATTGATTCGCATTTGATAGAGACTATCCTTCCCATCTGTGACTTCTTTTTGCAAATGTCTGATGCAAGATGTGTTGCCATAGACTTTGGGCCAGCAGACTTGATTGCAGGATGCGTAAGGGCCTTCGAACAATAAGTACAAATAACACATGGTTCTCCAGAAAGCCGGTCTGCTCCTTGGTGATAACTTCTCCAGTATTGAGAACTCCAGTTGGTTGAATCCCATGCAATCTTCATAAGGAGTTTTGTAGTATGATCTGAGTGTTGTTCATACCATCGTGATAGCTTCCACCACTCAATGAATATATCGTGTGTATCCTTAGTCCATTTGACGAATTGGTTTAACTTGCCAATATATTCAAGGCCTGCAGGGACTTTGTAAGGATGCCTGTCCCTCAGTGATGGAAAGGATCTGAGTCGGGCAGGTTACGGTCACATGATAAGAGTTAAGGCAGGTTAGCTGAGTCGGACCCGTTTCGGGTACTTAAGGAGATTGACCCAACGGGGGTTCCTCTCTTCATCTTTTTTGTATCCTTCGTAGTAGACCTATAGGATAGCATCCGTTTAGCCTCTGACTCGCACTCTCATATGCTATTACTGTGAGCTGGGTGCCCTGTGTCCTTACAGACTTAATTTAATGAGGATAGTCGTTGAGAAGACGGAAAAGAGTCTGAGAATACTGTCAGAATCAAACAACTCTGAGTATTGAGATGGCATTTGGCAAATTGCTCGATTATCAGAAGGTTACCAGAAGTCTGGCTACGATGAAGTACTTAAATACCTGGTTTTCCAACGCGAAAGGTACTCCAGCGCTATAACTTTAGCAACTCAAGTTCTCCTCTACTCTAGCTCCAGGAACAACATATCCTGTGCAGCTGATACCTTAGCCCACTTTTCCTTATCAAACTTCTTAGAGTAGACAAGTAAGAACGCCTCTTTGAAGCTAGAACTATGAGTGGATATTTGCAACCATCCATTGTCGACAAGATTGTAAGACTTTGGGTACCACTGCACAGGTCCTGGTAATTAGGCCCACTTTCCAAACTGCCTGCTCGTACAAACAGAAATATTTATGTGGTGGGATAACCTCGTGAAAAGTGCTATAATAAACAATTAGTATTGCCAGAAGATTGCTAGGATGATCAGAGACGTACCCTTCCTCTACATCAATCCACGGCATATACTCAAAGAGACGCTCAGGCTTCTTTCTCAGCTTTCCAGCCTTTCTCGTATATGAGTGGATACAGCTATCCCAGAAATGTTGCCACTTGCGGAAATTGGACTCTTCATGGGCCTATCAACTATTAGTATCACCAGAAGATTACCAGATTATGAGGTAGCATACATCAATGTGCGCTTGAGTTAAGAGAGCCTGGGTGCTAGTGATCTCTTCATCGGAAAGCTCATCTGGTAGAACAGCCTCGTCATTTAAAATATCTCGCGCTGTAACATAAGCTCCAACTCCAAATCGTCTTCAACCTCAGTATCCTCCCATTCGCTGTTATGATTGTCATCGATTGGAATACTTGAGATACCCTCAAATGCAGCAAGCTCAGTCAGAAGTTGTTTGGGCGGAGTAGATGGTGGGGCTTGTGGAGAAGAAGAGGCGCTAATATTCTTGACTTTCTGATTCGCAATGCAAGATGCATGGGTACCCTTCTCAGTCCTGTTTATAGTTAGATTGAGGCTACCAGAGATTACCAGAAGGAACTTACTGAACACAAATACGCTCAACCTTCAATTCATTCTGTAGACGTGTCTTGTCTTCAGTAGAGGCAGCGATATACTTTGTGTAATGACACAGGGCACCCAGCTCACAGTAATAGCATATGAGAGTGCGAGTTGGAGGCTAAAAGGATGCTATCCTATAGGTCTACTACGAAGGATACAAAAAAGATGAAGGGGGAACCCCGTTAAGTTTGTTTCCTTAAGTACCCGAAACGGGCCCGACTCGGTTATCCCAACCCTAGCCCTGAACCTTCCACCGCAACAGGTCCGCATCGACCCTGAACCCTACACCCTTACCGTCCCCCACTATAGTGTAACTCGCTATGTCCTCCTCTACTGGTCCGAAACCACACCGAGTCGGATTTCATGCTTGTGGTGACCGTAACAGCTCTGAGGCGGGTTCTTCGAGTATCTAGGTAAGGAGGCATCCTTACACTTTGCAGACTTATATAACTTCTTTAAGTAGTAGCTCAGATCAGCATGGTCAGCCTTGAGTGCTAAGTGAACAGCCTTCTCATCTTCAGTAAGGTTGGAGACGCAGTTGCGAGCTTTGATAGTATTCGCATTAGTGGAGAGTTCTTCATGTGCCTTGAGTTTCGCCATACTAACTAAACACGTGATTAGCAGAGATCTCCAGAAGTTCTGGCTATAGAATCAAGATAATAAACTTAGTTGAAGTCCTAGAGAAGAGGTAAAGGCTCAAAAGGGAAGAAGAATGTGTAGATCGGAGAGTAACCAAGGAAGGTGGTTCTAAGGTCGTGGTTATTTTAAAGTTGCAAACAAAAATATTTGTGAAGGAATATTCACCTACAAAGAATTACTGTTCCAAAAACAACACCACAATGCGCACCTTCATATAAAACACATACCTTTCAACCTCTACCTCTTTACTATACTCTTCTTCTGCAATATTCTTTCTACAAACTCACTGTAAGTACACATATCTTTTGATCTACTTCTTTATCTTGTGTTTACTTTACTAACTCACCTTGATATTAGCAAATGACTCGTACCAAGCAAACTGCTAGGAGATCAACTGGCGGCATAGCACCAAGGATGCCACTTGGATTACGGGCTGGCTCTGGGCTTGGCGGAAAGGGACAGGAAAAGGCTGTGGGCACAGCAAGAAAAGCTCCAGTTTGCTCATCTCAAGCTAGCAACAATCATGCTCAGAAGGCCACGCGCTGCACAAAGTCTAGTAAGAGGATTACCAGAGGATTACCAGAGGATTACCAGAACTCTCTAATAAACATATAGGCACCAAGGCTCTCCGCGATATCAGAAGACAGCAACTTGATACTAGCTCCCATTCCAGCGTCTTGTTAGGGAAATCACAGAAGACTTCAAGTCCAATCTTCGCTTCCAGCAATCTGCTATCCTAGCTCTTTAGGAAGCTGCTGAATGCTTCCTCATTCGAGAATTTGAGAGTATGATGTTTAAACATAGTGACAGGGACATACTAACAGTTATAGTGACAAACCTCCTCGCTATTCATGCGAAGAGAGTGACAATTCAGGCAAAGGGTATGATATTGGTTCGGCGTTTGCAGGATATGATGTTTAAGCTGTGGGCTTAATCGATGGAAATGTCTCTCACCCAGGAATGAAGGTCAGATGAGTTCTGGCAACCATCTGGTAACCTGGTACCTAAAGGCCAAAGGTTATAGTGTGGAATAGGACATCAACAATATGGGAATGGAGTTGGAGTTATGGCGTCTTGATCAATGAAGTCGCACCCCGTTTTTAACATAAGTAATGGCTAATCAAACACGTGATATAACTGAGTTGCCAAGACCCATACTAGGTACTCAGCAAGTGAGTAATCCTCATTCAACAATACTCGGGACATGAGTGAGTAACTCAGCTGGGTGAGTAAAAATTCTACTACTCGACTCGTGAGTACCCAGTGCGCAGCCTAGATGACATGGTGTACCACTCTCAATGTGTGACTTGAATTCAAAAAGCCAAAGTATTGCTTGCAAATCCACCGGTAACCACCTCAACAAATAAAAAAATCCCACATAGGACCTTACCTACCTAATCCTGTCCCCTCAATCGATGGGGAGTCAAATCTCAGTACATCCCCATCAGCCGCGTAACTTACGCCAGCCGCGCGCGCCAAGACCAAGCAGGGGTAACTTACGCAGCAGCCGCACCCGCTCGCTTCCCCATCCGAAATGTGTTCACTACTTGGCCTGTATCAAGCCTCACCCGAAGCTGCCAAACAACTCCCAATTGCATCCCCCACGAATCCCAAAATGCGATTCCTCCATCTCCTGCCGTCGCTGCTGCTAGCCGGCACGGCTCTCGCGGCTGAAAAGCCCTGGTCATTCAAGGACGCGACTGTTTCTGTTATTGGGAAGGGGAGTCGTACATCCAAGGAATCGTACGTCCACGTCTCCAACAGCTCCAATTCCCCCAACCCCCCCCCTCCAAACACCCCAATTCCCCTCCCCAAGCCCCCAAAACAGCAAAACTAACACCCGCACCAGTCTCTCCCCCTCCAAGCCCCTCGCCCAACCCCTCGCCCTCGGCCGAGCAGGAACCCTCAAGCTCTCCCTAACCACAACCTCCACCACGCCCTCGCGCCCCCACCAAGCCTTCCTCACCCTCACGGACCCCACAACCGGCCTCTCCACCTCCTTCGCCCTCCAAACCCGCACCACCGGCGCCGCCACCCTCGATCTCCCCTACGCCTCCCTCCCCTCCGCGCTCCTCTCCTCGCCCTCCCTCTCCGCCTCTCTCGTGCTCGGCTCTTTTGGCTCCGTCCCCGCGTCGGAGACGAGGCTGTTCAATATCGCTCTCAGCGCCGATGAGGGTCTCGCGCAGGTCGAGAAGCCGCCGATGAGATACGGGAAGTTGGCTGAGATCCACCATATTTTCGTGCCGGAGCAGAGTAGCCCGCCGAGGGTGATTAGTGTCTTCTTCACGCTCGCGGTGCTGGCTACGCTCCCCGTGGTGCTGGGTGCGTGGGCGCTGGCGGGCGGGAATGCGGGGCATGTTGGTGCGGCGCTCGCTGCGGCGCCGGTGAGCCATGGGTTGTTTTTCGGGAGCTTGGTGGCGATGGAGGGGGTGTTTGCGATGTACTATGTTAGTTGGAGGTTGTTTGAGGTGTTGCCGCTTGCGGGGGTGGTGGGGGCGGTGACGTTTGTGAGTGGGAGTAAGGCGTTGAGTGAGGTGCAGGCGAGGAGGGTGAGGGGGAGAGGTGAAGGGGGAGAGGTGAAGGGGGAGAGGTGAAGGGGGAGAGGTGAAGGGGGTTGGGGGTGTGTAAAGATGTAGATTATGGTGGAGATGGGGGGAGTTGAAAATGGGGATATGGGAGTGGTAGATTGGGGAGTGGGTTGGGGGGATAGATTGGCTGTATTGCTATGTTTATACTAGGCACGCATGATATCACGTTTGCTTGAGAGGAATGCGTTGGTGGTGCACTTGCTCTGGTTATACAGACATACGACTACTGAGTCGTGGGAATTGTAGACTTCAATCTCGGGGATTTACGAAATAGAAACTCAGCACAAGTACAATAGTTGCTATTGCTACACAGCTTTTATCTACCTGGTATATCCTAATACGACCCCCCCATCCCATCTACACCTACAATCTCCTCAGGATATCCGCCACCACCTCACTCGTCTTAGCCGTTCCCCCAAGATCAGGCGACAAATACTTGCCCTCAGTCAAGTTCGCATCAACCGCCTTATAAATCAACGCCGCAGCCGTCTCCTCCTTCAAGAACTCCAACATCAGCGCCACAGACCTCAACGTCGCAATCGGGTTCGCGATATCCTGTCCCGCGATATCGGGCGCACTTCCATGGCAGGGCTCACCAATTGCGAATCCCTCACCCACATTCGCCGACGGCACAAGCCCGAGCGAACCAACCAGCGCCGCGGCGCCGTCGGAGAGGATGTCACCGTACAAGTTCGGCGCGACGATGACGTCGTAGGTCTCGGGCTGGCGGAAGAGCTTGTAGACCATCGAATCCACGATCTGCTCCTCGACGCCGACACCCTTGAATTGCGGCAGGGCAAGGGCTTCACGGGCGGTGGTGCGGAAGAGCCCGTCAGTCTGGGAGAGGACGTTGGATTTGTGGGTGATTGTCACGAGGGGGGCGGAGTGGATGGATGGCGCGCCCGCGTCACGGATGCGCTGGCGCGACTGCGCGATCTCAGCGGCGATGAGGGCGATGCGGTGGGAGGCCTTCTGGGAGATGCGCTTGATTGCCTCGGCGACGAGGGAGCCGTCGGGGGCGGTGAAGGTGCGCTCCTCCTTGACGTAGAGGTCCTCGGTGTTCTCGCGGACGATGACCATGTCAATAGGGTTCGCGGCCGTCATGACGGACTTAACAGGTCGAACGTTCGCATAGAGGTCGAGGCGCTTGCGGAGTGCGACGATGGGGGAGGAGTAGCCCTTTACGGCAGTGGAGGGGGATTGGACGGCGCCGAAGAGAGCCCCGTCGCACTCGTGCTTGAGGGTTTCGACGGTCTTGTCGGGGAGTGCGGTGCCGGTCTGCTCGAAGGTCTCGAAGCCGGCTTTGAGGTCGACGAAGTCGAATTTGAGGCCTAGGCTGGCTGGGAGGGCTTCGAGGAGGCGGCGGCCGGCGGGGATGACTTCTTTGCCGATGCCATCGCCGGGGATGAGGCCTGGGGGGAGGGGAGGGGGTGGTCAATTAGGTGGGAGGAGTTGGGGGGGGGGGGGGGGGGGTGGGAGGGGGTAGGTACCGATTCTGAGGGTTCTGGTAGCCATTGGGAAGGGTTGATGGAGGTAGGGTAGCTCTCTCTTTGAAGCTGCGATGTCGGGGGAAGAGGGAAGAAAGAAAGTAGAGTAGGATGGGGATGGGAGCGGGTTAACAGATAATCCGATGGCAATAGAGATAATCCGATGGCAATACAGATAATCCGATGGCAATCAACCACGTGATTTGTACTCGACAGAATCCCGTCCTGTTCCGGTGTTCAGCTGCCAGTAGACGCCTACTATGCACACTACATGTAAAATACAGCAGACCAGAGAAACCTCTTCCGCACATTTGAACCATGCCGAAAGTACTCTACCGAGTATCGTTCAGGGCGATTTTGTATGGGGAAAGTATCGTTTGGGGCTATTTTGTATGGTGAAAGTACCTGTTCCCTCCCCCACAGACCCCTATTCTGTTCCTCTAGACACGCCAGAAAGTACAAGTCCTCCGTAGTACGGCGTACCGTTCAGGGCTATTTTGTATGGTGAAGGTACTTGTTCCTACTGTTTTACTGTTTGTCCACACGGATATTCGAGACACCACCCGTCTCGAATATCCCAACTTTCCCCCCGAATCCTAAATTTACTGCCTCTTTCTTATAATCCTAATATGCTTCATTTCTATTCTATATAATATCGGTCTTTTATATATTCTACGTACGCTGCCATTTTTTGGTATTCTGTTGCTTCTCAGCATATACCCGCCGTCCTGCGCGTCATACACTGTTTGCTCGAGCTCCCGTTTGCGAACGAATCACCCCCCGAGGACCTGCCCAAGGAGGTAGCCAGGGGATTGATTGCCCGCCATTCCAATACCACCACCCCAAACTCGTCCGTCCTCCAACCATTCTATTCAACCCAGAAAAATAAAATAAAAAGAAGATATATAAACCGCATGAGAAGGACTACACGAGTCTCCGCGTCATCCATCACTGTGGTCTTCTCTACCATTGTTCCCATCTCCCCCAACAGCTCTCTCTTCGCTGGGCCGTTCCTACATATACGCTATGTCTAGCCAGGGGCGATCCGCCAGCAGCGGTGTCCGCAATCTCCGTGCTATGTTCGAGAACAAAGACGACTCAACAACATCGCCACCACAACACAGAGGACGTTCTCCAGCCCCATCAATTGGTATGTGAATACCTTTGTGCATCTGATTCAGATGCTTGAGTTGCCGCAAAGAGCTTCCCTGTCCTGTCTCGTTGCTACCACCTGCCTCCGCTCTTCATACCCTGCAACAGCTCCCTTCTCGTTCCTCAACAGCTCAAGCTCAAGCTCAAGCTCAAGCTCAAGCTCAAGCTCAAGCTCAACCTCAACCTCAACCTCAACCTCAACCTCAACCTCAACCTCAACCTCAACCTCAAGCTCAACCTCAACCTCAACCTCAAGCTCAACCTCTACAACTTTATTAAATCTCAACTGACACAAGGCAAGCAGGAAACAACAGTGCATCGCCACGACCGCTATCGAAAGTACGAACAAGCTTTGTCGCAGTCGAGCGAAACGGTCAAACAGGCATACAGTGGGGCTTAAGGAAAGAAACAACCGTCCCACCCGAAGATTCCACCATGTCACAACGGCGAGGAAGCTTCGCCGAGAATGAAGCCACCGACCCCGACGTGGTAATCGAGAGGAAGAAGTCCATCCAGGCCGAGTTCAAGGCTCGGGAGAACAGCATCGACGTCTCCGAGACGATTCCCGAGTTCGCCCTCGAGATGCCCTCCGCTGCGGCGAGCAAGCAGGGAACTCCGACTATTGAGCCCAAGGATCCTATACTACCTGCAGCGCATACCCCGACGGGGAATCCAGACAAGCCCTCGACGGTGGAAGAGCGTAATGCAAAGCTTCTCCCGGCCGACGTCAAGGGTGCAGCCGCAGTCTCTGGTGGCAAAGCTCTGAAGGGTGCCTCGGGAGTTGGAGAGGACCTCAAGGGCGTCACAACTGGCAAGCTCAAGACTGCATCTTCAGCCAAGCCAGGCGACAAGGTAGCAGCAAGCAAGTCTTCCAAGCCCGCTCCAATTTCGACCACCAAAACTTCCACTCTGTCGAAATCAAGCAAGTCGCCCGCCCTCCCAAAAACCCCCGTCTCCAGCACCTCCGCCAAGTCAAGCACCAGGACCACCAAGCCCGCGGCCGAAAAACCCACCAGACCCTCCACCACAACCACCACAACCACCAAGCCCGCCGCGCCAACCACCCGCACCACCAACCCAGCCACCAAGAAACCCCCCCTCCCATCCTCAACAGGCTTCACCAAGCCCCTCCCCAAATCCCCCACCAAACCCGCTAAACTACCCCCCTCCCTCACGGCGCCCACCTCCTCCTCCCTCTCCAAGCTGACCGACGACGCGCGCCGCACCAGCGCTGGGGCGACGAGGTCTTCTAGTGGGGTTAGCCAGAGTCAGAAGTCGGAGCAGTCCCGCAAGGCGCCGAGCAATAGTAGACCATCCCTTGGACCCCCCCCGGCGGCCGCGGCGGGATTGAAGAAGCAAACCTCGCGACAGAGTCTCCCGAAGGCGGTGGCGCCGGCGGATGAGGGGTTTTTGGCGAGGATGATGAGGCCTACTACTGCGTCGGCGGGGAAGACGCATGATAAGGCTGGGACGCCGCCGAAGCCGAGGGTGGCGGGGATGGAGAGGCCGGGGACGAGGAATGGACATAATGCCAGGGGGGAGAGTGGTGGGAGTCCTGTTTCGGCGAGGCCGCCTGTGCCGACGGTGGGGGCGGTGCCGACGTTGAAGCCGTTGGGTGGGAAGGCTACGGCGGGGAGGGGGGGACGAAGGGGGAGGTGGGGGCGAAGAAGGAGGGTTCTACTGCGGCTGAGGCTGTTAAAGCTGTGGAGCAGGTAGCAGGGCCTCCTGCAGTGGAAGAAGAGGTTCCAGCACCAGCCACCACCGAAGAGACCGCACCAGCAGAGACGGAGGTTGAGATCGACGAGCCAGCTCCTGGTGTCGATATCGAGGAGGTGGAGGAAGTTGCTCCTGTCGAGGAAGCCGCTGTTGAAGCCGCGGTGCCTGTTGAAGAAACCACCGAAGAGGCGACTGAGGAAGTTGCATCAGAGGTCCCCACGCAGGACGAGCCAGTCGTGACGGACAAGGTCGACGTCGAGGCTGTTATTGACAACACCGAGGAACCTGCTGTGACTGATAAGGTCGACGTCGCTGCTGTTATGGAGGAGGCTGAGAGGGGGGATGAGGTCGAGGAGGTTGAGGTGGAGGTTGAGGAGGTTCCTGTGGTTGTTGAGGCTGAGTCTGAGGCTGCGGATGAGGAGACCCCTGCTGTTGTTGTTGAGGTGGAAGCTGAGACTGCCGAGGCGGATGTGGTTGAGGATGTTGCTGAGCCTGCCGTCACCGCTGCTGTGGAGGAGGAGACCGCGGACGTCCCCACCACCGCCGTCGCTACCGAAGAAGGGACGCCCGCCAAGGGTGACAAAACCGAGAAGGCGGAGGTCGAGGAGGTTGAACCCGCAGAGGCGTCTAGTGATGTCACGACCCCTGTTGCGAGCGCGACGCCGGTGGTTGCTTTATAACCCGCCTCTCGCTACAAGATAGTTGGGTGATATCTTTAACACCGTGTGTATGGGGTGAAGAGGGAGGGGGAGAGGGGTGGAGGTTGTAAGTTTAGTAGTTATATAAAGGATTGGATTCCAGCGATGGTTTGAGGGGAGAGGGGAGGGAGCGGGGAGGAGGGGGGAGAGATTGGATAGAAAATAGAGAGAAATTAAGATAAATATAGTATTTTTAAGCGGTTAATAATAGAGTTCACTTCTCATCGTCAGCAACTTAGGCACTGAAGGTATATGGGTGAGGCTAGTCAATTAGGGCCATCTATATATCGTACATCTGGTGTTTCATGAACTTTGGTTTCCGCATCATAGTGGCCGATTACCGTAAATTTGTGTTATTGAACTTGAGATAAGCTCGTCGTGTTTGCCACTTACTCATACAGAAAATAATCACCAGCGGAACAGTTGCCTGATACTTTTATAAGAGCCACTTATCATTCTTATACCCCACTACCTACATTCTCATCTGTTACTATTACAACAGCCACCTGGTATTCCTATGCCCCACTACCGGAACTAAACCCTGCATATCTTACAACAGCCACCAACTGCCAATTCCTACATTGTTGCCAGTTACTCATATAGAGAGGAATCACCGGATCTGTTCCCTAAAACATTTACAATAGATAGCCCCCATTCCTACACCTAACCGCCCGAACTATACCCTACCTATCTTACAACCAGCCACCCACCATCTTCCCCCCACCACCGGAACTATACCCTACCTATCTTACAACAGTTACCACCGCCCATCCCTACACCACATACCCCCCCTCCTCATCCCCCTCATCCTCATCCACCCTCGCCACCCGACTCAACCCCAACGTCCCCCTATCACCCATCCTCTCCCTATACCTCCTCTCCCTCTCCCTCAAATCCTCCAACTCCATCTCTTCCTCAATCTCTCTCTCCTCTCTCTCCTCTCGCTCCTCTCTCTCCCTCCTCTCCCTCGCCTCCCTTCCCTCTCCCATCCCCGCCGGTGCCTCCATCCCGGCACCCGCGCCCCAGTGAACATTCGCCAGGTGGCCTCGGCCATCCTTGCGCCCGCCTTTGGGTCCGAATATACTACCGCCCGCGGCGCCCGGGCGGTTGAAGCTCCGGCTGAAGTTGAAGCTGGTGCTGGGGGTGGTGCTCTGACGTCCTCCGATACTCTCATTCGTGTTCGTCGCGATGGTGGCCGAGGAATCGTTGAACAGCAGAGAAAGGTTCGAGGACATAACGTCGATTTCTTCGGTGTTGAGTAGCTTGGACTTTTTGCGGCGGAGGCCGAAGAGACCGTGTGAGCGGGCGCGGGGCTCGGGGGTTGAAGCTCCGGCGGCATGGACGGGGAGCTCAGAAGACTCGTTGGATGGGTCGTTCAAGAGATCATTTGAGAACTCGTTACACAGCTCATTGGATTGCTCCTCGGGCAACTCGTCTGGCAGCTCCGTCGCATTTCTATTCAACGTTGAACTGCGGCGACGCAAGCGCAGAGGGTTGAATGAAAAGCTGCGAGTGCTGCGGAGCGGCGGGTGCGGCGCATTCTCATCTGCCGCATCCGGCTGTGCACCTCCTTTGTTGCGCTTCCAGAAACCGCCACCGCCGCTGCTGCGACCAATGGTGCCTTTGTCCGCTGGGACGTCGGCGGTGGAATCGCTGAAGAGAAGATTGATATTGTTGGACTTCTCTTCGCCCTCTTCTGCGTCTTTTGGCTCTTCTTTCTTGCGGTGGAATAGACGAGACATGCTGCGCTTTTCTTTCAGATTCGGCGGTGGGGCGAGCTCGGGGTCATTGGGAGCTTCGCGCGCATAGGCATTGGAAGAAAAGCTTTTCGCAGTGCGCAGTGTTGGCTTCTTTGAGGGCTTGTCATCGGCGTCATCCTTTGATTTTCCTTTGCTCCAGAAACTCCCAGATCGGCTACGTTGATTCTTCAGCTCTTTTGGCTCTTTTGGCTCGTTTTGCTCTTCTGGCTCTTTTGGCTCTTTTGGTTCCCTCGGCACTGGTGGCACAGAGTAATGGAATAATGAAGCGAGGTTCTGTAACCTCACACCTTGCTTCCTCTGTTCTTCATCTCTTTGTTTCCTGAAACTCGCACCTCGGGCGTGCCGTGCCTCCTGTTCGGCCTCTGATTCCTCGGGTACATCAAAGCGCAATGTTTTCCTGGAAGACGATGTGGGGATTTGGTGCAGTCCGTCCTCGTCGGCAAATCGAATAGCACGCCTTGACGAGGAGGTGGGGATTTCGTGCAGCTCGTCCTCATCAGCAAAACGTAACGTGCGCCTTGATGATACGGTGGCGATCTGATGCAATTGGTTACCTACCTCAGGCGCTGGGGGATGAGGCCTCGTTGGTGGTGGGGGCATCGCTGTGTTTGGGAGTGGCCAATCGAGTACCACACTGCCGTCTGTGTTCGATCTCGATCTCGTACCATCTGTATCATATGTAGAACCCGTATAAACTGTGTGAAGTTCCAGTTGAGAGTGGTTTGATTGTTCATCTATATGATCCCAAGGCTCATCGGCCTGGCTGAGATTCTCGCTGCGGATGCGTGCCATTGTTGGAGTGTCGGATCCATCATCGGGAAGATAAAGAGTTGATAAAGAATCGACCTCTTGCTCATGCATGGGAGCAAGTTGCGCAGGTATCGTAGGGTCTGAAAACGCCATGTCGAGAGTTGATTCCGATGCGTCAGTATAGAAAGTAGAATTGGTTGAAGAATTATGCTGCGCCAGATGCGAGAGACCCGCGCGCTCGTGTCCAAGGTTCCAGGGCCTATTCATCTGAATTTGGCTCCGACCAGCTGCTGGCACTCGCGACTCGGGGAAATTAAACAGTCCATTCACTGCTGAGGACGTGGCATTGATCTCTTGAAGTTGATCGTCGATCTCGGGTATGGAAGCCATCGTCACAGGTATGATGGGAGTTCTCGCTAGAAACCTCTGGGGCCTCTTGAATAGTATATTGATTGCTTTGCGCGTGGAATTGACGACGATAGGTGGACGGCGGTCCTTGGGTAATCCACGAGTTGCCGTGGATATCCCAAACAAATTACCGAACCTAGTTGACATCGAATCAATCGCCCAGATCTCGATGATTTCGTCGCAGAAGTTAGGGAAGTCGGGCTCGTCTAGCTTCTTTTCAATGTGTCGTTCTATGTCATACATCCGCATCAATGAGTATTTGTTGTTGGGATGGCGGGGAAGAATGGGAAGCTGGATTCCCAAGCCAATACCCTCCGGGTTATCCTCGTCCTCTGAAGCTGTATCTGATTCAGATTCTTCATCTGAGTCGTAAAGGGTTGGAAATAGCTCTCTATAGTCAAAAGGAGTGCTGGTTTCAGGGCCTGTTATGTTGGGAGTTGTCCTGAAAAAGGATATCCTGCTAAGAGCTCTTCTGAAAAACGCCCTGCTTGCAGTCATCCTGCTTGTACGTGGCTTTTCGACATGCTCCTCTTCTTTAGTATTGACAAACTTTACGACAGTGCCCAGGTAATCACCATCAGTCGTAGTTATGCCAGGCTCAATTTCTGGGTAATCGCGAGGCCAAGGAGGTACTTTTGGAGTGATCAGAAGCGTGGGCCCGTTTCCAATTGAGCCAATTTCAGTGAGGATATATTTGGTATAAGGCTTTCCAAAGCCCGAGAGCCGGAAATGATAGAGAGGTATGCCCTCTCGCCCAAGACGTTGCGGCAGAAAGTCTAGAACTGTTGTTGTGTATGAGGAACAGTATTTGATAGGAACATCTGCGGATGGTTAGTATGTGACTTAAGAATAAATGAACAATGACATACTTTTGTTCGGCTTATCGTTTGCCGTTGGAGGCTTGTCTGTATTAGATGTGTCTTCTCCATGTGAGAGTTCAACAATGACACTACTGTCTAGCGAACTGCTAACTTCAGAAGCCCCATTTTTAAACCCATCGTCGGACCCATCTTCAGACACATCTTCAGACTCATCTTGGGTCCCATCTTGGGTCTCATCTTCAGGATTCCCATCTTCAGGAGTCCCATCTTGGGGGGTCCCATCTTTAGGAGGCTCGGCTACAGAAAGTCAGTAATAGCCCTTGGAAAATGGAACAATAACATACTATTATCCGGAATATTCGTCCCAGGAATATTCTCCTCCGGAATATATCTCTGCGAGGGTGGTCGGAAACCTTTGTATCTCCGACACATGATATGCAGACTCCGTATGGTCCCACTTCTATCGGAAAGGGCTCGCACTAGTTTTTTCATAAACCACTGCATCTCTCTTCCGCCATGTTTGAGCGCAAACTTATCGTTTTTGTAGCACCCCCCTAGTCGTGTGAAATCAACTTCCACAGTCAAGAACTGCATCTTGTTCGCAAATAGCGGCAGCCATTTGTTCATGAGCGGCGCTGCAATTGGAGTGCAGAAGTAGTTGAAAGTAACATGGAAGTGGAACTGCGAACAATAATATGTCATGATTTCGTGCCGGAGTTGGAAACACGACAAACTTAGGCCGCCAATAATATCGAAAACAGTTTGAGGCTCCATGAAATGCTTTTTTGGCCAAAACCCATCTATCGTACGGTTTGGTGATAGAATAATCATCTTGTTTTTTGCGCGTACTGGCCCGGTCACAAACTGGTAGATTCGAAAGCGAACATTGACGGGTAGTCCGAGAAGATGCGGATCTCCAAAGCCAGGCACTCTAATTCTTTCGCGGTACCGATAACCTTTGGGCAAACTCGGCAAGATTGTCATGAAAGCATCCAACGCGTCCCCATTATCGTAATAACCAACCTCATAATCGACTAGGTGGTGGTAGGGAGGAATATGTTGCCTCTCCGGAATTGGAACTGGAACCGGGACCGCGACTGGGGTGGTGGTGACTTTTGGACCTTTTCTCCGGAAGAACGGTGCCTTCAGACTCTTGAATATGGACGACGCTGGAAAAGTAGACTTCGCTTTGCTCAGTGAAGAATCGGGATCTTTGCCGCCTAGAAATGGGGACTTGAACCTCGGGAAGAAAGGAATTGAAATCTTGTGGCCGAGAAACGGAGACTTCAGATTTGCAAGGGAAGTTTTTCGCCCAGGAAATTTGGACTTCGAATCTCCCAGTGAAGGATCAGGAGGTTGGCTTCCGATGAACGGGGATCTCAGTCCATTAAGCAACGGAGTGAGGATGTACCTCATCTGCGAAAGGACATTAGCAGTCTAGTTCTGGTGCCGACACACAAAGGTGGGTAGAGTAGCTACCTTGACGTTTATAGAAAGGATCGGTCTGTAGATTCAATCGAATAAAAGACATCCATAAAAAGGATTGATCTGTAGATTCAATCGAGTAAAAGACGTTCATAAAAAAGGTTGATCTGCAGATTCGACTGAGTGAAAGACGTTCATAGAAAGGATTAATCTGCAGATTCGACTGAATGAAAGACGTTCATAGAAAGGATTAATCTGCAGATTCGACTGAGTGAAAGACGTTCATAGAAAGGATCAATCTGCAGATTCGACTGAGTGAAAGACGTTCATAGAAGGGACTGATCTGTAGATCCAATGGAGTGAAAGACGTTTATAGAAGGGGATTGATCTGTGGATTGAATGGAGTGAAAGAGACTCGACGACCAACGCGCCGTCGAGTAGAAGCACGCAGATGAGGTTATGAGTTTGACGATGACAAAGAATTCAAAACATAGATTTAAGTTACCCTTGACGATTGGCGTTTTTGTTTGGTGTGGGCCTAGGGTGAGTGCCAAATTGTTCGCTACGTGGTATTCTGTTCGCCACATGCCATTTGTCCCGCTCCCCCCAGCGAATTGTTCCAGGAGAGCAACTCTATATCTCTAGAGACAAAGGAAATATGGCTTTGTGATTCAGAAAGAGCATATAACAATTGCTCACCTACTGTATAACGCATCGAAGTGATATTCTCATATACTGCGTTTGGTCCCTAGTTGAGAATATCAGCTCAGACGGGGAGCTGGGCACTCCCATCATTTCAAAGTAGTGGATTTGACTCATTAGATAACTGGCCTGCTTACTAGTCATCATATCCACCATTTTATCAATTTGAACCCCTTTCTCAGCTTGTAGAACAGACGAGAACAATGACAATCCACAGAAAGAAAATAAAATATCCCAACAGGAATAGGTACCGGGCATTACGAAAACAGACATATTGAAACATGTCAGAGATATTCAGGAGCCTTCTAAAAAAATCCAAGGGCCATGGACACCTACGAAGTATGGAGCTAGCCATTATAACATAAAACTATACGTGTATGATCGTTGTCGTCAATTCAACATTAAGCGCCAAGCGCGATCCGGCGGCGTCTATGGCGGGGTAATTATGGCGCTAAAAAATCATCGCAAGATCGGTATTTCCCGCACCGTCATTCTGCCCAATTCCGCACCCCTCTATCGTGGAGACAATATTTTATACCCTTTGGACATACTTGGAGGGCTGAAATCTACTAGGTTTCGAAGATTTTATTTCGTTTTACACCAACCTTGTTTGTAAATAGATTATAAAAGCACACCAACGATGTCGGGGCCACCTGCGAAGTTCAACGCCGAAGAGGCCGATAACTTGGAGGATGTACGTTTTTGTCCCCCCCCCAAAGTATGCGGTTTGACTTATATTGGGGCAGATTGAGAAGCAGTTTGCGGTGAAAGGTACGTTCTATCCCTCTGGGACCATTTCCATCGCTGACTTAAGTGCAAACAGCTGTGCAACACATGTCGACTTACTGGGCAATCCTCGAGAAAGTCAAGGGATCCTCCCTCAAACTGACGAAGATGGACGATGATATCTACGAGCATCTGAGGAAAGACCTTCCAGAGTTTGATCCTGCAGCTACCATCAACGAGGATGAGATGAAGAGCAAACTAGGCAAGGAGAAGTGGCGCAACTTCATGATGTTTTATGACAAGAAGATTGACGACTACAACTTCGGAACGATGCTGAGGACCAGCCCAACGGAGGAATACACACAGGATGGTACCATTTTTGGTGAGAATTGCTGGTGAGACACGTATTGTTGTATCCTTAATAACCTGGAAATAGTGCCAAGAATGCAGTTTTACGCTGTTGAAATCGCAAGGTAAGACCGCAGCCATCTATTTGCTCTTATATACTTGCGCGACCTATCGTCAATTCCATTTGGGGCGGAGTATGCTGACCATAGCGCAGAAACCGCAACGGACTGAATGACTGGATTTACGAGAAGGCACAGAATGAGAAGGCTGTCACAGAGTCGTAGACAACACACCCAATCAAGGAAATCACGACCCAATTTATAACTTACATATGCTTTGGTGGGCCCCTGATATGATAGGATATTGAGAAATCCGACCGAAATTTGTGGGAAAATACGGATGTGAGGTAGCCTGGAATGGTACAGTACCTTTTCAATTATTCAGGTACACCTCATAGCCCTTTCATTCGTGTCACCACCACAGCACGGGCTCTCCCTTGCTTGGTAGCGATTTTATTATAGTTGATGCATCACCTGTTACCCAGCGCCATTGCTGCTTCCGGCGACCGAAATCTCAAAATTGCGATTGATTCGGCCGCTTCTAAGAACAATAGTAAGGAAGCGACAATGAAGCTATGGGGTCCATGTCGGCCAGAACCTTCTGTAAAGGTATGGGGTTTTGTCTCATAATTGGGTGGTACTACACCCATTAATTCTTTGACCTACTTTCTTCATCATGCTTGCCGCTTTCAATCGTCTGTATATTTTCTACTGCCACTGACGGCTTATGGGGATGGCGGATACTTCTCTTCGCAATGAGGTTTCGGGAAGATTGGAGAACTCTACTGCGGGCAGAGAAGACTCCGATACGAAGCCGGCATGGAAGTCCATGTTTGCGTTTACGGTGCGGGGCCACCTCGCCGTCATGATCCCTGCGTGGATCTCTTCCATGACCGCGGGAGTAATCAGGCCATCTATGGCGATTTTTATGGGATTTATTTTCGACGATATAGCAGAGTATGTGACTGGATCAACTAACTATTCATCAATGATAAAGCGTATCTCAAAATGGTGTATTGTCCTCACAGGTTTGGGGGTGGGCTCTTGCCTTGCCAACGCGGGGTTCTTTGGATTGTGGTTAATATTTGGAGAGTCACAAGCAAAACAGGCGAGACAGAAGCTATTCACAGGATTGCTGAGGAGAGAAATGGAGTGGTACGATCTTCGCAAAGACGGAATATCACCCGTTCTTATTAGAATACAAACGTAAGTCGGTAGTGGACGAGAATGGTTTGGTTTGCTGACACTTTGACAGACAAGCCAGAGAGCTCCAGTTGGCGACATCCCAACCGATGGGGTTCTTCGTGAAGGACGTTGCGGCGGCTGTCACGGCCATTGGTATTGCCTTTTATTACTCATGGAAGTTAACTCTTGTCCTTTCACTGAGTGTCCCGACAGCGTCACTTGTTATGTGGCTCGTATCACGTCGACTCCAGCCAGCGATCGAGGCCCAAAGGCGAGAATTAAACATAGCCTCAAAATATACAAACACAGCCTTCCATGCAATCGACACCGTGAAAGTGTTCAACGGACAGAACCACGAGATCCGGCAATACGCCTCTGCAATCAACGCGGTCGGCTTGTCGTATATGATTCAAGGGCAAGTCAGAGCTTCACAGATGGGCAGCGCCCGCTTTCTTGTGGTGGTCTTGTTTATGGCTGGATTCTGGTATGGTCTGAAGTTGCACAAGGATGGTGAACTCACACCGGGCGACGTGATTACGACGTTTTACTCGTTCTTGATGGGGAACCAGGCTGTCACGTCGCTCTTGGCACAATATGTGATATTGTGTAAGGGCAAATCCGCAGGGGCGACACTGGAGAGGATTATCGGAGAATTGAGCAATACCTTGCCGCTCTCGAAAGTTGCTGGTACTCGGACATTGGAAGTCTGTGATGGGGATATCGAGGTCACAAATGTAAGTGATAAACTCGTTCCATATTGTAGCATCGCTAATTATAACAGCTCACGTTCTCATATCCATCGAACCCGACGCAGTCTTCGCTTATAGGCGTCGACTTATTCTTCCCTGCTGGAGAAACAACATTTTTGTTTGGTCGAAGTGGATCTGGCAAGAGCACATTAACGAACTTATTACTTCGGTTGTATGATACCACATCAGGCACAATCTCAATCGATGGCTGTCCAATCGAAACCTTGGATGTTAACTGGCTTCGAAATAATGTAACTCTGGTGCAGCAGCAGAGCGTCCTGTTCAACGATACTCTGTGGAACAATGTTGCCTTTGGTTGCGGCGATGGGAAGCAACCAACAGAGGAAGATATCCAAGTGGCATGTGAGATGGCTATGCTCACCGAGGTTATTCAAGACTTACCAAATGGACTTAATACTTCAATTGGAACAGGGGGTACTGCCATGAGTGGAGGGCAGAAGCAAAGAGTTGCTATCGCTCGCGCACGACTGCGAGACACTCCGATTCTGATTTTGGACGAAGCAACAAACGCGCTGGACCACGTGAATAAAACTCTCGTTATGGACGCGATTCGAGAGTGGAGAAGGGATAAGACTACTATTATAATCACCCACGATTCATCACAGATCCAAGATATGGACTTCGTTTACGTTATCGATCACGGGAAAGTTGTTGAAGAAGGCTACCGGCATTCGCTCGCTCAAAACCCTTTTGGAAATTTCGCATCTTTGGCAGAGATCAAGAGCGACAAGGAATATATGGAGGAAAAGCGTAGTCAAGTGTCATCCATTCATCAAAGGAGCTCAGCACAACCACATACTAATATGGCGATGGTCAATAATATGCGTGTGGCCTCTGCCAACCCTTACGCAAACGACCACGTTGGAGAAGGCAGCTCAGAAACCTCAGAACCCATGACAAGGTTGCAATGTCTCTCAACTTTTCTAGCCTATAATCATGGTGCAAGCCAGCAAGCTCATCACCACAATAATAGGACATCTCTCAGTACCGCGACGGTATATGCAAATACTATCCATACTAATGACACCTCAGATAACCGAAACTCCTGGCCAATCCGCTCCCAGGACCCTTTGCCCAATCTGCCTGAGCCGAGTTACAGGAGATCTCACAACCGATTAAACCAATATCCGCCGACGAACTTCAGCTATATTGGGTTGGCGGCTCATAGCCAAAAAGAAGTGATGTATCCAGTCAACATAACAGAAACGGATGACTTGGACGCGCGTATGGAATCAGAGTTGAATATCGAGTATATTAACTTAGTGAGAGGCAGTACCATCCAGGTTTCTGCAGAAAAGAACAAAATGGACTGCAGGCGTCCTGGACCAGCTACCCTGAAAACAATTCTGGGAACCATTTGGCCAAATCTTACGCGGAAAGAACGGCTGGTATTGATACTTGGGTTTGGAAGTGCCTTCATCTATGCCGCATGCACGCCTGTATTCTCTTATGTACTTGCAAAGCTCTTCAGCACCTTTTATGAGACCAAAAACCAAGGGCCAGAAGCGCGTAAATGGGCACTGACGCTTCTATTCATCGCAGTAGCAGACGGCACTTCCAGTTACACCTTCTACTACTCTCTTGATTGCTGTGCCAGAGCCTGGGTCGACTCCCTCCGTAAGGAAGCACTCACACGCATCCTGGACCAACCCCGTTCGTGGTTCGATGAGGCTGAGAACTCGCTGTCCATCCTCAACGAGAGCCTTGATCGCAGTGGAGAAGAAATGCGCAACCTGCTCGGTCGCTTTGCTGGATACACATTCGCAGCCGCTTGCATGATCAGCATCGGCGTCATCTGGGCGTTCATTATGTGCTGGAAGCTCACAGCTGTCAGTCTAGCTAGTGTTCCCATTATCTACGCCATAACCCGCGCATTTGAGGCTGTATCTGGAAACCTTGAACGCAAGAGTGACGCAAAGTCCAATGCCATTGGCGAGGTCTTTTCTGAGACCTTCACTAATATCCGCGTCATCAGGGCGCTCACACTAGAATCACACTTCCAGCGCAAGAACTCCATTGCTGTTCAAGAAGCATTCCGCATCGGCCTCCGCCGCGGCACCTTCTGCGGTCTCTTCTTCGGAATGTCCCAATCGACAACCCTTTTCCTCACAGCCCTCATCCTTTTCTACGGCGCCGTCCTCGTCGGCACCCGCGCCGCTAGCTTCTACGACGTCGTAGCTTGCATAACCCTCCTCCTCTTCAGCATCGGCAACGCAAACGACACTCTCTCCGTCATCCCCCAAATCGCCACCGCCCGCGCCGGTGCAACCCGGATGCTTCGTCTCTCCTCCCTCCCTCCGGGTGAATCCTCACGGATCCTCCACCAACGCACCCTCACCTCACCCCTCCCCATCTGCATGACCAACCTCTCCTTCGCCTACCCCTCTCGACCGCAAACACCCATCCTACAAAACCTCTCCCTCACTCTGAAGGCCGGAACCTGCACCGCCCTAGTCGGACCCTCCGGCTCAGGGAAAAGTACCCTCGCCTCCCTCCTCCTGGGACTATACACCCCAACCTCCAACCTCTCATCCCTAACATTCGCGCACCACCCCCTCTCGAACCTCTCCCTCCCCGACCTTCGTGCCCACATGGCGCTCGTCCCCCAATTCCCCGCCCTCTTCCCCGCCTCCCTCGCGCAAAATATCATCTACGGTCTTGCACCCAGCAGCCCTCTCACGAGCCTCGCGAACATCGAGCGCGCTGTCTCTAAAGCGGGGTTAGATGATTTCGTGGCTCGGCTACCAGAGGGGCTGGAGACGCAGATTGGGGAGGGGGGCAGGGCGATGTCTGGGGGTGAGACGGTGAGGGTTGCGATTGCGAGGGCGTTGGTGAGGAGACCGAAGGTGTTGGTTATGGATGAGCCTACGGCGGGGTTGGATGGGGAGGGGGTGGAGAGGGTGGGTAGAGTGGCGGAGGGGGTGGGGGATGAGGTGGCGGTGGTGGTTGTTACGCATGATGTGAGGATGATGAGGAGGGCGGGGTGGGTGGTTGTTGTTGAGGGGGGGAGGGCGGTGGAGCAGGGACGGTGGGAGGATTTGAGGTGGGCGGGGGGGGCGATGGAGAGGCTAGTTGGGGGAAGTGCAGGAGTAAGAGGAGGTTGAAGATAGGGTGGAAATTTGATATTGGTGGGAGTTTGGGGATTGGCGTTATTTGCATTTGGTTGATTTACCATGTCCAAATGGGCTATGATAATGTTGTTGATTAAAACCAACGTATTTCACATGCGAGCTGGTCGGTCACCCAAGCGAGCTGGTCACTGAATTTCCCACCCAAAATCAGGAAATTTGCAAGATAATAACTCAACAACAGCTTGATAATACATATTAAAAATACTTTTCTAGCCTTTTCTACTTAGTTAAATCCTTATCCAGTTATTTAGGAATAATCTATGTTGTAGTTCTTAAGATATTAAGTATGTTCCGGCCCAACCGTGAACTGAGCTGGTTCATGAAGTGGCCGGCCAAACCAGAAGTAGGAGTAATCAATTGATCTATATAGCTACGTTTCCTGCTGTGTCTGCCTGTGCTCGTTTCCGACGAAGCCTCTCAACTAGAACTATTTCTGTACGAGTAGCTAGCCTAATAAATTGCCGCAGTCATGGTCGTCATTATGGCAGTGTATCCTTTGCTTCCTTATAACAACGGCACCTCTTTGTACTACATTGACCCCTACATTTACATGATATTCCAACCCGTGCGCTTGTAGAAGCCTCTCTAGCTGCAAGCCCTAGCGTTACTTGCTTTGTAAAAGTAGGAATAATGATATCAGACCATATAGCTTGCTCTACAACTCCAAGTAATTTCGTAGGTATAAGGCGTTATATAATACCAGAGAGTGTTAGATATCGGTGTAGGTAAGGCTCTTCTAGAATGCGTGCAAAGAGCCTCTTATTATCAGTTGAGGTTCTATCCTCTCGAGGCACCTTTATAGAGACTATAGCTCTAATATCAAAGTGTTAGATATCATGCTTCTTTGTATAATTGCGTATCATAGAAACCCTCGCTCTTTGAGTAGCTGCTATAGCTCTCTCAATTACAGGGTCGGGTGTAACCCGAAGCTTAGTCGTAGGCTGAGCTGGCACTCGAGCCTAGGTCCCACGCCAGAGCTCAGAATTGAGCTCTCGAGCCAGCTCTGGCTCAGAGCCAGAGCTAGGCTCGGAATTGAGCCCTAAGCCAGAGAGCTCAATTCCGAGCTCTCTGCTTTGGAAGAGCTGGGCTCGAGCTCGCCAGAGCTGTGGGCCAATTAGAGCTTCGGGCTCAAGCTCACTCTTTAAAAATCAGTGCTATAGGTAGGTCTTTGTAAAGGCGTAGGACCCAGGGTCACACGGGAGCTCAGGGAACCAGATCAGTAGGTAGGAAGTAGGATTCAATGCGTAACAATAGGTCTACGTATATACAGCGACTATTGACTGGAGGCCTCACTCCGAGCCTCCAGCCCCTTATATACAGGAACCCGTAGGCCCTAATTTACTGAGCCCGCCAGGTCCACTGTAAGAGCGTGACACCTCACGTGCCCTCACGTGAGGGCCGCCTTACAGTCTTCCTGCTCAACTCCAATTAAGAGATCCTTCTAAGCTTGGCTATTAAGCCAATTAATATGAGAGCTCCTATCTTAGAACAGTAGCTTAGCTAGTGCGCACCTAATAATAGACTAGATTTAGGTGTTTATAGCAAGTGTAACTTCAAGTAGCCCATCCTTCCACTCTATAGACCCATGATCCACTTTCAAGCTCATAGCTTATTCTTAATGACTCCATTTGCCTACTTAACTAGGCCTTGCATTTGTGGTGACTGTGGTGCTCCATTTACTACTTGAATTCCATACTTCTGTAGTAGAATGAGTAGAGCTCCCGTAAATTCCTTTCTATTATCAGCTTGCATAATCTTAGGAGGTAAGAAGGCTGTAATAAAGAGAGCAAAGGAGTCTGCAATAGGCTCTGCATGCTTGCTCTTTAATAGATATAGCTATGTATATTTTGAGAAGTGATCCTTTATATGTAGAATCCACTTATATTGTCCTAAAGGCTCGTGGCGCATATTTTATTGTGTATTACATTTGCTACACCTTTTGTAACCTAATTAATGCTTTGTAAAAGTTAAGTTAGTGAGTTGCCGGGGTTGGCGGTGGCGGATTGGAGGGTTAAGGAGGCGGTGGGTGTTCTTTGTATAACGACGTTAACTAAGCAAGTCATTTGCTTTACGAAGTGTAGCATTTTCTCGTAATAAAGTTAATTTGTGTATTACATTTGCTACACCTTTTGTAACCTAATTAATGCTTTGTAAAAGTGAAGTTAGTGAACTATTCTAATGTTGCATAATTTGGTCTTTAAGCTATGTTGATTGATATTGTGTCTTAAGTATATTATATAGAGTTTTAGGTTCCTAAATCATAGGTAGAGTTATAGGCGTTAGCATAAAAAGTTGAACATTAAGCTTTAAGATTACATAGTCTAGATTATACAATAAAGCCACTTCTCGGGGTTGGAGCTGCTGAATTTGGCAGGGCGCGGTTGCTGCTTTATGCACCCTTTACCTCCATGCTAGACCCAAATGCACGTGATCACAGATCGCATCACAGCCCCAAGTTGGTTACCCTTCAAATGGTTCCTGGTTTCTGGTCCCTGTGGTCTACTTTCTGCTTTCCATTTCTCTCTTTTCTGCTTGTCCCAAGGTACCACTGGCCATCATGATCATGAGGGCCACCACACGATGGACCACCTGGTCGCTCAGACTCGGACTGGCCACTTGTTTAAATACCTAGAGCAGTCCGGGTTCCGCGGAGCTGGCTTAGTGCCTTTCGACCCGCAAGCAGTGCTTTCAAAGCTTGACGTGAGGTTACGGACTCCAACTCCCTCTAGACCCTCTACTGCCAACACCAACCCTTGGGTCTCCCAGACCCCTTCCAACCCAACTGAAGCTCTTTCACAAACAACCCTCGTTCGAAATCGAATTGCCCGTCACCAAGGAAGCTCGCCAACTCCACTCTTCGGGACAGTTATTGCATTGGCAAAGGGTATGGAGCGACTAGCACATGAGAACACCCTTCTGTCTGCTGAGGTACGTACCCTTCGAGCAGCCAACGAAGCCCTTAGCAAACGCCGCAGGGCTAAAAAGGCTCGTGTCCGTGAAGGAGGTGCACTTATAGTAGAGGATGCACAGGCTATTATCGCACAGAAGGATGTGGATGAGCAGGTACGACGCGACGTACGTGCAGTTGGGGGTAGTCGCAAGGAGGGGCAACCGTCTAGGCGATGCTGTGGGATCTGTGGAAAAGCTGGTCATAATGCGCGAACTTGTCAAGAAGCTATAGATATGTCTAGTTCATCTGATTCCGCTTAGTTATAGTTAATTTAATATGTTATGGTTGATTTATTGATATTCAAAGTAGAATGCCAATGAAAAGTGTCCGAGGTACTGATATGTCCGACGTACTGATAAACCACGTTATGCTTGTTTATAATACAAGTTATAATACAAGTACACCGACTCTAGGTGGCGTCTATTTCATGCCTCATAACCGCTATCAATACAATGCAAATGCAGCTGCCTGGCGCTCCTATTAATGAGGCACCTTAGACCAATCACGACACATCCCCAGCACTGTTCTACACAGCTTCCCCATCTCAACTGTCATATCCTTCTTGCGCCAACTTCCCTGCGCACGATGCTGCAATCGCGCATCTGGGTCCGTCAGAAGCTTCGAGCCCATATTGCCGTAAGACGAACGGCCAGGGCTGTTGAACGTTAGCGCGGTATTCCAACCATAGCGACCAAAGGAAAAAAAATGGTGCAGAATAGGAACATACCTAAACGCCGTAATCGGGAAAATAATCGTATCACCAACAGCCTTACTCCTCCCTCCATCCTTCAGCCCCGTAAGCGCGTCCCACCTCAACCCCGCATCCTCCTTCAACTGCTGCATGGCTGCCGTCGTAATCGCCTCCGGCCCAGTAAGTTTCAGCGGGTCCTCCCTGGCCAACACCCCCGCCTCCGCAGTCGCCGTCAAGTTCCCCTCAAACGGCCGCACCAGCTGCGCCACGCGGGTCTTGAAATTCGCAAGGAAGCGATTGAGCACCGGGTGGTCCGGCGCAGAAGCCAGCGACCATTGTGTCAGCTGGATGGGGAAGAAGTATCCCATGCGCCAGTGCGTGTCGGTGTTGGGGTCGTTGTCGGCTTCGATGCCGAGGAGGAGGCGGGCGAGTTGGGGGGTGGATTTTGAGTGCCCGGAGGCGGGGCTGTATTCGGTGTTGGTCTGCGGGTCGGTCCAGGGGGTCATGTCGCGGTCTTCGAGCCAGGTGGCGGGGGAGCGGAGGGGGTGGGTGTCGATATCGCCGTACTGGTGGGGGTTGGGTTAGCCTTTGCGAGGTTTGTGTTGGGGCGGAGGTTTGTTTTAGGGGAGACTCACGATGCCGCCAATGCTGTTTGCGACGACGACTCTGAAGACGTCTGATCTCTCGACTGGTAATGGTAGTGCCTTCAGGGTATCCACGAGGTCCGGCGTAGCATCCGTAAAAAGCTGGTCGCAACCGTCGTCCAGCCAGAGGAAGTACGCCATGCTCCCACGGTCCTCAGCCTTTGCATATTCGAGCCAGCGCTCCACGCCCAGTACAAGGTCTGGCGCCCACTCATCAATCTTTGTATTCATCCATGTCTGGTGTACTATCAAGGGAATGGTGGAGTGAGGGATCGTCTGCTTCAGTTCGATAGCGCGCTTGGAAGCCAGCCGGGCTGCTTCGAGGATGGTTGTGGTTGGCGGATCGGAGTCTTTTCGCCATTCGTCGGGAACATACCATACTGTCAGGCGCACATCTGTTAGCCATGAAGTCCATTGATTATCCCATAGCAATTGGGGTGGCAAATGAGGCTGGAATCCTTTGCGAAGCGCAAAGGGGGCAAGGACGCGCGTACCTCCTCCTTTCCCACTGTTGCTGTTTTTCCATATATGTTCCCACGCAAGAGGGTATTTCTGTCGGATGTACGCCTCATCGTACTTCGGCTTCGAGGCCTGGAGAAAGGGGCGACCAAGCCATAGGTGGAGGAAAACGAGCAGGAGACAGATTGTGATGAGCTGCCTCCGGCGAAAGAGAGCCATGCATGCGAGTAGGACGTGGTTGCTGTGTTATGGGAAGATGTTACCGCATGTCGGGGCGCTGTAGATTCGAGTCTCAGGGCAAAGGGGGACGAGATTATTAAAGGGACAGGCACAGGTAGAGTTTGTAGTAGTGATGTCGTCGAACAGGGCGGCGGAGTACTGGAGTCGGTCAGGGTGCTAAAGCCATCTACTAGTGAGGACCCCAAACCACGCTAACTCTTGTGGAAGCATCGTGTCCAGGTACATAGAATCGTTAGCGGAATTAATGATTGCGCCCCAAAATATAACTTTTTTAACCCAATTCACAACCACGATTTCATAACTGCGAGTTTAGAGCTACGAATCTGCTTTATACAATAGCACGAGGTCCACTATCATTAAATGTATTTAGTTATACAGTCTCGGCCTTGTTTTATATTGCATGTATACGCATAACGTATTTCACAGGCAAAGCGATCACCCGGGCGAAGCGATCACTGAACTTCCCACCTAAAATTGAGAAATTTACAAGATAATAACTCAACAACAACTTCATAATATATATTAAAAATGTATTTCTAGCCTTTCCTATTTAGTTGAATTTGTACCTAATTATTTAGGAATAATCTATTTAGTAGTTCTTAAGATATTAAGCTTAAAATAAAGGAACCTACATGTATACTGTATATATTCCTTTATTTTAAGCTTTAAAGCAATTAGACTAGTAGATATTAAAATATAAAGACCTAGTCTAAATAGTGCCTAAACTTAATATATAAGGGTACACACACATTTTTAGAACATATTATGAAGTTGTTGTTGAGTTATTATCTTGTAAATTTCTCAATTTTAGGTGGGAAGTTCAGTGATCGCTTCGCCCAGGTGATCGCTTTGCCTGTGAAATACGTTGATTTATTAATTCATATTTTTGTTGATTATATTGTAAGTAACTGCACCTTAGGTGGCGACAACCAGGAACTTTTCTCATCTTATCTTTCTGCATTTTGTGGGGTAAGACGCAAGGCTAGTTTCCAAGTGTTCAAGCTACTATTATAGCATTGTATAATATCCCCTAAACGACCTTACACAATTAGATTTAGGGAATGGCTTCTTAATGCGATTCTATTCCTAACTTAAGTTTCTCTCTACATTTAAAGAAGCATTTAGAGCTACATTTATAGAGTAGAACATTAACAGTAGGTTCTAAGTAACATGATTAGTTCTGCACGAGCTATAGAGTGTCCTTTCTCCTTAAGTCCGTATAGAGGTGGCAAGTAAGAGTAGTCGGCAGGTAGGCTCTAAGGGCCAACAGAAGCGCTATGGCTTATGTGGTATTATGGGCTATAATTCCCGTATGTGCAAGAGGATTCAATTACAGTTGAATAAGGGTCGTTATAAAGGGTGGTGTAGTAGTAGATGTGGTAATAGTCAATTTATTGGTGTTTTGGTGGGTGACTTGCTTGTGTAGGCGTTATGAGGTCCCCCAACTTAATTTCTCGTCAAACATAAGTATCATATTGGCAACATAGCTTAATCATCAAATAGAGAAGAATGCATGTATTCCAAAGATCTCTCTGCTAGACTAAATATCCCTCTGAGAGGAGAATTAATTCTTTTCTTTTCGTCCCGAGCCATGGAATCAGGTGATAAGAAGGCACGAGGCTTCAGGATGGTGGCACGGAGCGTTCCATTCATCCATCTAGTAAGGCCCGAACCTTGCTAGCCCGCCCCGGCCCGGGGCGTATATCCGAACTCTGGACCCTGGCTAATGGCAGAGGGTATGCACACACCAGAAAGCCTCACAGCGAAGGCTTCCAAGCCTCTTTAACCAAGCCTCTTTAATGCTTGGTGGGAATGAAGGCTGCGACTTCCCATGAGGCTGTGTTTTGGGGCCGCGTCTCATTACAGTGCGACAATCCAGAAATAGTTTGCTGCCTAAGCATAGTTCAGCCCTACCTGACCCCCAGAGCGTCTTCTTCATGTGATGAGGGGTATTGTGGCGGTATCGCAATTACCCACTCTACGCTGTTTTCCATGTTGTAAATTACGAATGCGCTTGTGCTATCACACGCATAACACCATATTCACACCGGAAAGCGCGCCGACCCTCGCGGCGGCTATACCTTCGGAATGTCTGGCGCTGAAGCGCTGGCCCTTATCGGGATCATTTCGAGTACTCTCCAGCTTGTCAGTTTCAGCTCGCAGGTGCTGCGGCGGATAAAGGACTACAAAGATGACACCACAAGCCTGCCGAGGGAGTTTTGGACGTTACAAGATCAACTACCCCTCATTTCGCATGCGCTGCACATAACATGGAAGCAGACCCAGGCAGACGAACTTGAGGAGGAGGCATGCAAGGCGCTTGTTCCGGTTATTAACGCCTGCCATCAGGAGGTTCTCAAGTTGAAGGCGATACTGGAGAAGGTGGCGCCCTCAGCGGGTGATGCAGGATGGAAGAGAAACTGGAAGGCCCTCACGAGTGTCTTCCACGACAAAGATGTCGCAGCCGTGGCAGCGGGTCTGGCGCAGTTGCTGTCGGTTATCAACCACTATCACGGGGCGTATACAGCCGCAACAGCCGGCTCGATCTTGCAGAAGTTGAGCGCTATGGCAGAGACGCCCAAGAAAGTCGAAGTCGAGGTTGAAGTGCACGTCAAGCATTTCATTGCTCCTACTGTCTGGACGGACGATTTTGCTGGACGAAAGGATACTATAGCGTCGCTAGAAAAGTTGCTAGCAGGTGAAGATAAACATCGCCGAATCTCTGTCATTGGGCTTGGTGGGGTGGGAAAGACTCGACTGCTGCTGCAATATGCGCATCGGTTCAAGGACTCGGACACTCACTCGGTGTTCTGGATCCACGCAAGTAGTATGTCTCGAATGAACAAGACGTGCGCCGAGATAGCGAGGCTCGTAAAAATCAAAGGATGCGAGAACCCCTTGTCCAACAAGATAGAGCTAGTGAAGGATTATCTTGAAAGTCCGAAGTCGGGCAAATGGACGCTTTTACTAGACAACGCCGACGATTATGACCTGTTCTACGGATCTGGCAAACTGTCGCAGTCAATACCACGCTCGGATAACGGCTCTATACTTATGTCAACTCGCGATGGAAGGGTAGGAATGGAATTCGCGAAGAGAAACTCAATTTTGCTCGGAGCACTGTCCCTCGAGGAGTCAATTACATTGCTTGATACCCGCCTTGGCGTGGAAGACAATACCTTCAACGATCTCAAAGAGCTGAGCGAGGAACTCTGCGGCATACCTCTCGCACTCGTTCAAGCGTCGTCATTCATAAAACAGAACTTCCTTTCTATCCCTAGCTACCTAGAGATCTACCGCTCAAGCGACAAAGATAAGATCGAGCTCCTCAGCGAAGACTTCGATGACGACTACCGGGACGACGAAATCCGCAACCCGATAGCAACGACATGGAGCCTGTCGTTTGAGTTCATTCAAAAAAGGGACCCGCTAGCTGCCGAGATCCTCTCTGTCATGAGCATGCTCGATCCACAGGCGATTCCGGGGTCTCTCATTTACAACGAGAATAGCACTCTTAAATTCAGCAAAGCAATGGGCACACTTCAGGCCTTTTCTCTTATTACCTCACGCCTAGATGGCCCGATATGGGACGGCCGGCGGGACAAGTCATTTGACCTTCATCGGCTTGTTAGGCTAGCTATGCGGAGTTGGCTGGCTTATCATAACCGACTGGAGATGTTCACGGCGAAGGCATTAGGCATTATGGCGGAGCGATACGTGCACAGCGACTGGGATAGTAGGGCAAAATGGGCGGCGTACCTTCCTCATGCGGCTGTGCCTTTTCAATCGGATCACTTGAAAGCGATTGAGGATGTGGTTGAGACAAAGGTGTCGCATAACGAGAAGGATGGACGATCAGTACACCCTCGAGGTCGCCGAGTCTACCTTTGTAGTTAAGCCAGGGCGGGTCGATCGTCTCGACATTGCATACCGGCATATGTGGCTCTATGCAATGCGACATTACCGGGAGATACCGACTGTAAAGTCGTAGGACCCAGGGTCACACGGGAGCTCAGGGAACCAGATCAGTAGGTAGGAAGTAGGATTCAATGCGTAACAATAGGTCTACGTATATACAGCGACTATTGACTGGAGGCCTCACTCCGAGCCTCCAGCCCCTTATATACAGGAACCCGTAGGCCCTAATTTACCGAGCCCGCCAGGTCCACTGTAAGAGCGTGACACCTCACGTGCCCTCACGTGAGGGCCGCCTTACAATTACCTCCCCCTTCTAGGGAATTGCCCCCAATTCCAGGCATAGAGATCAGGGCTGATTGCGCCCTTGTTTGGGCTTGTTTGGCTTGTTTGCTCGCGCGTAGGGTGGGTTGTTGTTATCGAACTCGCGCCTGTCAGGGGGGTCCCGTGACCCCCCTTGTTGTTGTGCCGCGGCCACCCCCAGTTGTTGTGGGCATCGCGCTTAACTCCCACTTCCTACCCAACTTCCTACTTTCCTCACACAACCTCACACCAAGTGCCCGCTCTTCTGGGTTCTTGGGTTCTTCCTTTTGATCCTCTTCCAAGGTTTGCTTCAAGGATTACTCCCTCTTCGCAAGGTATTTACCTCCCTTCCGCGTCTTCAGGGACTGATCTGTGGATTAGTTCCGTCAATCATGGCTCCGCGCAAGCAGCCCAAGAAGACAGTGGCGCCTGTCACCACCCCTCTCAAGTGCTCTTCCGCCCAGATGTCTGGGTCTCCCGAGTTGGAGTCACCTGCCACCCCTACTCCCTTCGGTCCTGCTTCCGTTGCGTCCACCTCTCGCCCTCGCACCGTGCGTCCCTACCGATCACCTTCGGTTGAGGACGCTCCAGAGGAGGAGGAGGAGGTCGCTGCTCAGTTGGCCGCCAAGGAGATGCGTACGGCGCTGGGGTGGAAGCTTTCTGCGCGCCGCCCAGTTCCAGAGTCTGTTGGTCCCCTTCGCGCAGGCTCCCGCGACTGCTGCGTCAAGTGTTCAGTCACCTATTACAACTATCCTGGACAGATCTGCTGGGTCCCTGTTGGCTTGGACAAGTGCGGCGACTGTCTCCAAGGAAACCACCACTGCGTTCCGGTAGGCCTCCTTTTCCTTCTTAGTGGGATATGCTGACAACCAGGCAGGTCGGTCCTGATCAGAAGGATGCCCTCACTGCCCTGCAGCTCAAGTCCGACGCCTATTTGAACTGTTGCGCTGACGACGAGGACGCTGGGCTGGAACATAATTCGGTCGCCACCCGTGAGGCTCTGGCCTCCCTCCTCTTTGCCCAACGCGAGTTCACTACCGCTGATAAGGGCAAGGAGCCTCGCACCCTGAAGGTCAAGAATAAGGGTAAGAGAGCTGCTACGTCCTTCCACGAGGAACCTGTTGCGCCTCTCCCTGAGGCTGGGGGCCCCGTCGTCCGCAACCTCAACGACCCACGCCAAGCCCTTCTTCACCACGCTGAGACCCTTGCTGAGCTGGATCAGGCCAAAACCAAGGCTCTCAAGGCTGCTGCTGCTATGTTCCACGCCGCTACTGATGCGGCTCTAGACGCCTACCAGGTTGGCCTCAACGCCCACGTCGCCGCCCTGAAGTTTGTCGTAGGTTTGTGATTCCCATCCTTCCTGGACGTTTTGCTGACCCTGTGGGTAGCTCGAGTGAGGCCTGTCCTGCCCTCCGCGCCCTTGTCGGTAGGACCTATTCTCCTGCCTACGCCTGCGGATTACGATCGTGCTCTTTTTGAGCGTTTGTTTGTGCGTCCAGACCAGTGGCGCTTCAATCCACGCCCTGCCCCCGTCGTCGCCCCCTTGTCTGACGCGCGCATTTCTTCTAGGTCTGGGTCGGGGTCTGCTTCTGGGTCTGTGAGCCCTTCTCCTTCGGAACTTGACGCGTTGTTTTTTCCCTTAGTTTAGGACAATACACTACATTGCCTTCTGCGTCTGTTCCTTGTGATATGCCTTGATTAACGGTAGTCCTACGTCAAGCTTTGGAACCCACTGATCGTCAGCTGCAGTGTAGCCTGCCCACCTAATCAGGTATTCCTCTCGGATTCCTCTACCCCTCCGCACAGTCCTGTGGTCTAGGACTGCCTCGACCTTGTATTCTTCTTCCCCATCCACGATCTCTGGATCTGGTGGAGGATCGGCCTTCTCAACGCCTTCCCGATACCTCTCGAGTAGGGAGACGTGGAACACGTCGTGAATCGCCTTATACCGTGGGGGAAGCCTCAATCGATACGCCTGTTTACCTATCCGCCCGGTGATCTCATACGGTCCGAGCCACCGGTGACCTAGCTTCCTACTTGGCTGGGTGGTTCTGATATTCTTGGCAGAAAGCCACACCCGTTCGCCGACCATGAACTGCATTGGCTTGTGGATCTTGTTATATCCTCGGACTTGGGCTTCCTTCGATCTCGCCCAGGCCTCTTCAAGCTCCTTTCGTAGGTCGAGGATCTTCTGGACTCGGTCTCTTGCAACCGGCACCTCCCTTCTCATGGGGTCGTCCTCGATCCCTTGCCGCAGGTCGATGTTGATACCGTATCGAGCCTGATTTGGCGACATCTGGATGGAATCGTGGAAGGCATTATTGTAGGTAAGCTCCGCGAAGTGAAGAAGTTCTACCCAATTGTCCTGGTGCTGATTGCAGTGTAGGCGTAGGTAGGCCTCAATATTCTGGTTCTGCCTTTCCGTCTGGCCGTCAGATTGAGGGTGGAAGGCAGTCGATAGGTTCCGCCGTACTTTGAGGTGGAAACAGAAGGCCGACCAGAAGTGGCACGTAAATACGCTGCCGCGGTCTGTAATTATTTTAGCAGGAATTCCAAAGTCCTTAACCCAATACTCAAGGAAGACCCGCCCCAACTCGGTGGCAGTAATGGTCTTCCGGCAGGGTATATATTTGGATACCTTGGTGTATCGGTCTACGATTACCAAAATGGAGTCTGAAGCCTTAGCTTGGTCTGCTCCTATACTAGGCGGCAGATCTGTGATGAAGTCCATACTTATGGACTCAAAGGGCTTAGTAGGCATTCTGAGGCCTTGCATTTCGCCGTAGGGTCTATGCCGTACCGGCTTGATCCGCTGGCACCGATCGCAGCCACGTACGTACTCCCTGGCTTCCTGGTCTAATCCAGGCCAGTAGTATTTCCGTCGGATCAGTTCCTGGGTCTTCTTATATCCGAAGTGCCCAGCCAAAGGGTCGTCGTGGCAAATCTTGAAGATTTCCATACGTACTGCCTGATTGGGAGGCACGTAGGCCGCTCCCTTGAAGCGTAGGATGCCTGCATCGTCTACTCTCCAACCTGAAGAGCCCTTCGCCCACGCCGACCCTGCTTCTCTGGCCCTGTGAACAGCGAGCTCGTCAGCCGCTTGAAGGGTTTTGATCAGATCCGCTAAGGGTTCGGCCGTGGCACTGTAGGCGCTCTCTCCCTGAGCCATGGCTGCCACCATAACTCGAGGGACAACGAGACCTGGACTCTTGGTGTCCTTACTCTGGTCTTCGCCCAGTGTGGTGCCTACTTCTTGTAAGTCAGCCACTACCCGCCTCATCTGCAGGGCTTCTTCTCCTGCCTGTATGGCTTTCTGGAGCTTGTTTCGAAGGGTAGGAAGCATCACGTTCTGGCTACCCTTCTCTTCCTCATAGTCTGGTCTCCTAGACGGCCCATCTGCGGGGTTGGTCTTGCCAGCTCGATAGGATATTTGGAAGTCGTAGGCTGACAACGCCTGCGCCCACCGCGCCTGCCTTCTTGTGAGGGCGGTGGTTTCCATGAAGTATTTCAGGTTGTTGTGATCCGTCAGGACCTCGATTGGGTGTTGGCTACCCTCTAGGTAATGCCTCCACTGTTCGAAAGATCTCACGATCGCCAAGAGCTCTTGGTCGTGGACCTCATAGTTCAGCTCTGCTGGCTCCAGCTTTTTGCTGAAGAAGGCGACTGGGTGCCACCCACCCCTTCGTTCTGGGGTTTCTTCTACATATTGGGAAAGATTCCCTGCCAACCCGAATCCGGAGGAGTCTGTCTCAAGTCTAATCTTACAGCTTGGATCGAAATGGACTAACATGGGAGCTGTGGTGAAGGCCTCCTTGAGGCGATCGAACGCGCCCTGCTGCATTGCTCCCCACACAAAGGGCCCGGTCTGTTTACCGGCCTTGGCCCCCTTCATAAGGCCAGTCAAGGGTGCCACAACAGAGGAGTACTGCTCTATGAAGCGTCGGTAAAAGTTGGCGAAGCCGAGAAACACCTGGACCTCTCGGTAGGTCTTGGGTGTAGGCCACTCAGCTATCGCAGCAACCCGGTCGCCTTCCATAGCCACTCCTTCTGTTGTGACGGTATATCCAAGGAAGCCTACCTGTTTGGTATTGAACTCGCACTTTGAGAGCTTTACATATAGGTTCGCCTCTCGTAGGCGACCTAGGACCTCCTGTACGTGGTGGGTATGTTCCTCCTCTTTAGAGGAATAAATAAGGATATCGTCGAGGTATACAACGCATATCGTATCAACGAGCCCTTCGAGGGTCTCGTTCATATAGGCCTGAAACGTGGCTGGCGCGTTGGCCAAGCCAAAAGGCATCACTTTGTACTCAAAGTGGCCGTAACGAGTGCGGAAGGCGGTCTTCCACTCGTCGCCTGGGCGGATCCGGATCCTGTGGTAGGCGTTCCTAATATCAAGCTTTGTGAAGACCTTTGCTCCTTGGAGCCAATCCAAGGTCTCTGTGATCAGCGGCAAGGGGTGCCTATTCTTTACGGTGATCTTATTCAGACCCCTATAATCCACGCAGAGGCGTAGACTGCCGTCCTTCTTCTGTACGAACAGTATGGGCGCGCCCGCTGGGCTTATGCTCCTCTGGATCCAACCCTTCCTTTCGCTTGATTGAAGGTATTCCCGGAGTGTGGCCAACTCCGTCTCAGATAGGTTGTATACCGGGCCGTAAGGCGGCTCTTGCATGCTG